TCTTTGCATCCTAGCAAAAAGTGGGCAAACAGCACCCTCTGAAGTCTTAACACAAAAATGCAAAGCCAAAACAAAGGTAAAAAGCAGGCATACAGGTCTTCAGGATTTATCTTAATTGCATAATTCATATTGGGGCAGTATCAAGCTAAGATATAAGTCCGTTTTTTAATTCAGCAGCTCTTTAAGATAAAGCCAGAAAAGAAACCCCACTGAACTTTGTCGGATGCAAGAGGTACACACTTATGTAACTAAATCTATTTAAATATATCCTTGTGAATGTAATTATTTAAAAAATTTCTCTACAAAGTACCTACATGCATGAATCATTTACTTTGTTCCCACATTTGAACAAACAGCCAACATTTTTGCCATGGTTGAGTTAATCATACAGTAATTAAGCAAAGTTAGCCAAAGGCAAACTCAAAAAATTTTCAGATATTTTCAAAGTCGTAAATTATCTCTAAATCCTACCTTTTCTAAGGAAAAATGACTGTTTTAATTTCAAATCCCAGCCAGTCCTGGAATTCTGACTTGGAAGTACACACATTTTATAAATTGCTGAGAAGTATCACATTATGTGAGCTTTAACAATTTATGTAAATGTTGACAGATGAATCTTGACCTATACCTTAAGAGGGCTGAAATCTTATGAAGGAGAGCTAAATTTTCTAGAATACATTTAAATAACACCTACTTACAAACAAGATGGTAATTTTGAAAGCAATAAAGTTAATTGTGATCAGCGATCAGAGAAGGAAACTTTTCAGCTGTCTAACCTGATGTCAAAATTCTTCCAAAGGCAGGAAGCGTGGTGGAAATGTGCAGTAATATAAACTTTTTTTCTGAACCCGAGAAAACCCTCTTGAAGGAACGAAAACCCACCAGAAATGGTGCAGTACTTTCATCTGAAAAAGATCCCTGGATTTGCAAAGAATAAGACAGCCAACAGGCAAGAGAGGACAATTAGGTATTTGTGTCCTAGGAAGATCACAAATTTGATGTCTCTGGATAACTGAAAATTAAGTTGTGTTGCTGCGCAGGTTTTTGTATACTGTATTATTAAACCACTTCTACCCATCAAAAAGCAGGGTATAAAATTTAAATTGTATAAAGGGAAAGCTAATGATACTGTTGACTATCATACAGCTGCTTTAGAATTGTAGAAACTGAAGTTTGCTGCTTCACTAAGGATGCATTTAACTGCATTCAGTAAGGCTACATTTAACTCAGCCCAATGATTAGCTCATCCTCTAATCCAGGGGTTCCCCAACCCCTCCCCCCCAACCAACAGCAGGCTGGAGCATGCCAGAAACCAGGCCACGCAAACAAGGGAAGCCCCATCTGCAGGATGCAGGCAGCACATGAAACCATGCTCCTCCAGCCTGTGGAAAAACCTTTTCTCCACTGATCTCTGCTACCCACTGTCGGTGGCCGCTGCTATAACCCACTGATTGCATTGGATGCATGTATGTAAAAACAGGAGATCTTATTTTGTCAGCTTCCTTGTGAACATGAATGGCAATTAAGCTCCAATCCTCCTCATACCCAGAGGGCTGGTTACAGCAAAGCCTCAGCAATATTACCCAATGCAGCATCTCAGACCAGTGCAAAGAACGGGCACGCCATGTTCCTCCAGGAACACAAATAGCCCATACTTTGGGTATCTGCCATGCATGTTGCAGTCTGGCTCATACACATCAAGAGAAAAAAAATTCTCAAGGCATCTGGGGAGACTAACATCTGTCTGTAAGCTGCCCAGTCATTTATTAGATGGGCAGCTATATAAATTGGAATAAATATATCTTCCAACCTTGACTACCATTGATCTACATCAGGACACCATTCCAGCTTAATATGCAAATGCTGTCATTTCAACATTCCCTCCTGCAAAGTTCTCGGTTACTAGTTATGTTATGTTTTATCAGTTGTGTAACCAAGAGCTCATCTTATCAGAGATTCAGATGCTGAACTGGCACCAGATTCTAGCTCAACTTTCTTCAGCAGCTGAATGGATGACTGGGCCAATCATTCTCAGTCCAACCTATAACACTGGGGGGAAATGAGAGAAAGCACTATGTATGGTGTCTTGAGCTCTTGAATGAAAAAGATATCTAATAAATATAAGAAATGTGGGATCATAGCTTAAATATCAGCCTACTTTTACTCAATTGTTCCACGGTTGTTACTTGATGTCATACAGTAGGGATACTACAGTACAAACTGTCCTACCAAGACACATCCTTTGTTAACTATCCCAACAAACTACAGCCCCTGCTCATATGGAGCCAGTTATAAATGTATGAACCGAGAGCCTGCCTCAGCAGAGGAAAAAAAAACTGAAGTTTGTTCTCCATTAAAAACTTACACCATTTAATGTTGTTGTAGTGCAAATAAAGTATTTATTGAGTATCAACTCCATTTAATTCAAATTAATTTCCAGTCAGTCAACATGCTGCCCATTAGTATCACATGGCAGTTGAGAATCTGTTAAAAGAAAAAAAATGTTCAGAATGAGTTTAAGGTAGCAGAAATGAATAAAATCCCTAAACGCTTTCCACCAACAACTTAAGTGCCCAATTCCCATATGCATGGCTTGTTCTATCAGTTTGTTGAATTATCCACACCAGTTTGTTCACATATCAAGATAAAGTAAGGATAGTACTGTTGGAAGAAATATCCTTCTGGGTTCAGTTCCAAGTGGGGAAAAAGACACTGGAAACACGGAGGCTACTTGGAAAGATGGTTTAATGGTGGACAGCAGGACCACACGGCTTGAAGCTCCAAAGTGAAAAGGATGATCACATGCTTCAAGGTGAGAAGGTCAAGAAGGGCTGATATGCTGAGGGTGCCTGGGTTTTATAACCTTTGTTGGAATTTGAATTGGAACTTGTATTCTGATTGGTTGTCAGACCCCCATGGGGCCATGCAGGGGCAACTCTGTAGGCTGTCCTTGGTTGAGCCTTGCTGGATGATGATGCACTGAAAGGGCTTTGGGCAATTTGCCATAGTTTTACCTGGAGATCTTTGTTATGCAAAGTATTCTGCCCCAGGCCTTAACAGCCCACCCATTAACAAAGGTGGAGGTGAGCTTCTACTTCTGAGGTGAGTTTCTGCTTCTGAGTTTCTACTCTTTTTAGAGGAAATATTCTGCCTTTTTAATATTTCCCAGGATATTTCATTTTTCTAGGAGAGGGGTGGGTGCTAACTTCCTACAGTACATGATAGTATAGCTCAATGTCAGCCCAGGTTATGTGTGGTGCTAGAGTTGATTATGGACCACTAAAAGCACCATTATCTGTATCAAATGAGATATGGTAGCCCATCATACATACAGTGGATACTTTAAAGATACAATGTATACTGTTCCGAAGTAATTCTACAGAAAAGGTAGGAACCCACACATTTGTATGCTAAGTAAAACAAACCTTTCTGGACTAGCAATCCCAGAAAATTGTAATGCAGCTTCTTTCATCACCAGTGCTTCAAAAGCCAAGTACCACTCCTCCTGAAAAATAGTAAGCCACATGAATGAAGATTTACATCTGGCTTCTGGCTTCAAATATAAAATGTACAACATTAAGACTTGAACATCAGTGGAATCAGGCTATTTGGCTAGAATACACGCTTGATCAGCAGAGTCGATATGATGGGGAAAAAAGGAATAGTCATCATGTACCACTGAGCTAAATGTTTTGCAGTCCCCTTTGTCTTAAGAGTATATACTTGACTTCCAAGCACACTTGATAGGAGACAATCACATAGAATAACTATTATCTTTTCATCCTTTCAATTACATAGTCGGATTAAGTTCTATGGCAGTTTTTAAAACTACACAAACCTGGCAACTGCAGCCAAGCTCCTAGATCAAAGTAGCACAATTTTATAATTGAAGTTATTCTACATGCAACACTGCATCACAGTTTAGCATATGAGCCCCAGGCTCATTAACTTTACTTTTTCTTCTGAGTAAATGAAAGCTTTGTTTGAATGCCCAACAGTTCCTACCAGGTGCAAGCTTACACAAATGCTAAGCAGTTTAAATCATGACTGGGAAACTTCCCAGTACTGCCCATACCGACTGTAGCTAATGAGTAAAAGCCTAACATCTGGAATACATCACATTGCCAAACAATGGGCAGTTCAAACAAGCCACAACCAAACCATGGCTTGTATCTTTTTCCATTCACTGATACAGTTCTCAGCAGAGAACTAAGGAAATGTTGAATAATGATGCATTTTCAGTCAATTTACAACAAATGTGTGCACCTTAGTCAGCTTTATGAACCAATTTTATCAACTAGAATTTCCAAGTTCTTTCCACCCACATTTTGTCAAAGTGCATTCATCCAACTTGAAGCTTTTAATATCTGTCATTCTTTAAACACCCCCCCCCCCAAAAAGTAACGTAGCCTTTCCAAAACCTTTAAAACAAGGTTGACCAAATAATTCATATATTGCACATTTTAGAGTCTTTATCTGTGAAGTTGTGTTCTCCCAGGAGGGTCCTGGGAAAGGCAGCATTTGCTCCTCCAGGGTATTCTATGGTACAGTCTTTATATAGGGAAATGCAAAGCATTCAATTCCAAAGAACTCCAAAATGCTATTTCCTCTAGGAGCAGGTCAACATCACCATTCTAGTTTGAAAGTTGTTCTAAAACTAAATTGTCTTGAAAATCACCAATCAGAACAGCATTGCCCAGGAGGGAAATGTAACATTTTAGAGTCCTTCTGAATGTTCCAGTATCCTGAAACAGGATACTGAGATTACTTTTAATAAGTACATAATAACTTAAGACATTCTTACCCCTATATTTACTGGATGCACTTGAAACAAACAGCTCAATTTTTCTTAGGTTTACACGACTCCTCTTTTTCATCCATCTAGTGCAAGAATTCTGTTATTTCTTCATTGATTCTTTTGAATCCTAAAATGGCACAGAAGACCCATTAGTTACATTATAGGCTGGTCTGCCTGGAGTAGAATAAACAGGTACACCCCAGCTGATGTATCAGACAAAGGACTGGCTAATACAGTAAGATCAACAGTATCGCTCTGATGGGGAAAAAAGCTTCAGTCATCATACACATCAGCTCTAAAGGCACATTAGAGAAGGGAATACCATAACTGTAATTTCCTTGTCTCAAAGCTTCCCCCCTATTTGCTAATCTAGCCTTCACAAAGAAATGAAATGTAAGGAACAATTTACAGGTAGCTTAAATTATTTTTAATTAAAATAGTTATCTACCAATGCATTCTATTTTCCAGATTGCTTTTGAAAAGAATTCCTATGGAAATTTCAGCAACCCAAAATGTAAAAATTAACGTTATCTCTAAAGTACTTGGCAGTGCATGCCTCCATGCCATCCACCTACTGAATGGTTTGGAGCCGTTCTTCACATCAGTGTTTCACAACGGTGGCAACTTTAAGATGCATGGACTTCAATTCTCAAAAATTCCTCAGCCAGCTTATCAAGACTGCAGGGCCAAGTATAGGCAGTGGCCAGGAGTCAACAATTCCTATGTGGATCATTCGCCCTTCACTGGTATAAGATGGTAACATGTTTCTTCATCCAACTAAAAATAATAAGCACCAGAAACTCACATGTCCCTTTCTTCAAAAAATGTTCGCCACAGAACCCATAATGGCAGTTTAGGTGATTCCACATCTTTCAACTTGGAGAGTTTTGCAAGAGCTTTCACCATGCATCCTTCACTGAATTCTTTTCTTGCCTGAAACAGGAAGAGATCCAAGACAGAAGCATTATTCCACATCCTAGCGAAAGCAAAGTGTTATCAATTCCCAGCCAGCCCCCTTCTTCCTCCCCCCACGGTACAATTGGTGCAGTCAGACAAGTTCTGGCTAATAGCAAAGAATTCAACATTTCCGCTCTGATGGGGAAAAAAGTCTCAAGTCATCACGAGCACCAAATTAAACCTTCAAGCGCTTAAGATCGCAGGCCTGGGAAGAAGAGGACCGTGAAAGAACGAGGCAGGGGGGAAGACTCCTGAATCCATTTTGCATAATCTTAAAGTAAAGCAAACCGGGATAATTTAGGGAGAAAAAAAAGAAAAGGGGAGAGGAGAAATCGGTGAGGCAATCTAAAATCTCGCGAACAACGAACAACGTGGCAGATGGCGGCGGATTGCCAAGCTCCACGAACGACTCACCTACTCAGCCTTGAAGCATCCCAAAAAAAGAACGCGTGCGTCCGTGTCGCGTCTTTATATATACACTAGAGCAGCTTGGTGCGCATGTCTGTCCCAAAGCATTTTGGGAAATGTAGTTTTTCAAAGGCCCTGGTGTATGGTTAATACTTCCGTGCTTTTGTTTGAGAGGTAGCCGGTTGTTATGGGAGGGGACAAATCCCACTTGAAGGATTTAAATTTTAGAGCAGCGCTTTCGCTTTCCAACTTTGGTTTGTAGATGCCCATATTGCGTTATACTGCGTGGTTTAATCATGCTGAAATACAGCATTGGTGTGAATCGTTGGAATGGCAAGGGTCAAACACGGTTTTAGATAAAACGCGGCAAATACGTAAGGATTTGTTCTGCCTGAAAGCTCAGTCGCGTTCGTTTACTCAAGAATATTTCTCGAAGTTCAATAGAAAACATACCTTTAGTAAGGAACACAGACTTTATGGGATAGCGTATCGTTTATTGTTAGGGTTATCCTATTGTTTTTGCACAGTCAAAAAGAGAAAGAGTAGAGAAATAGAGAAAGTCATTAAATTAATTCAAGGGCAATAGGTTTAATGGGCTGTGAGTCCAGTATAAATCTTGTTTACTTGTCAGAGCAATCACAATCCTGCTACTGTATACCAAAGTACTCATAAAAATTAAAATCTTATATAATACATAAGCATTTTTCTTTAAAAAAAAAAAAAAAACCCAAACACTGCTCGTGTGAAGTTCTTTATTCTGTTCTACATTTTAAGAAAGGTAATGAAAACTAGCACTTCCTGAAGTCCCCAGAAAGTTGAATGGGAAACACTCAAAGGAGCAGGGTAGGAAGCAGCATGCTTTGAAATGAATGATTAAAGCAGCGTTTCTTAACTCTGCGGTTGGCTGGGGAATTCTGGGAGTTGGAGTTTGCCCGTTAAAGTTGCTGAGATTTGAGAAACACTGGATTAAAATGTTGGACCAGGATGGGAGACCCAGATTGTAGTCCATCCTTAGCAACAGATCTTCGCTTAGAAGATCCTGCAAGGCATTGTACGAGGTGTTTATCAATTTAAAAAAGGGGTCTTAGGGTTATTGTGCTAGCAAATCTGTGATTGAATTTCATGAAGCTCTTAACCATGAACTGAGAAAAAGTTCATGAGCCAGAAAAATCAGTGATGCTGGGACTCAAGTCTTTATTAAAGGCAGAATGCTTCATGGTTATGGAAGCAAGTAATAATGCTACGCTTTCATATTTGCAGATCCCAACCAATATAGATTGTACTGTCCTCCCAATAGGGCATGGGTGCCAAATTCATTGCGTCATGTTACCGTTACGTGACATTTCACATTTTTTCCCTTCATGGAGCTGGGGTGGGCGTGGCCTCCATGAGATGCATCTGGCCCGTGGGCCGCCAGTTTAACATCCCTGCAATAGGGGCATCTTCCAGACTTGTATCTTACTTAACTAGAGACATGGAAGTATAGTTGAAGATCTCATCTGTAGCAAAGATCCAAAGCATTAATCCAATATCCAGCATAGTAGTGAATAAATTGAGGGACTAAAAGGAGACTCAAATTCAAGTCTACCCTCACGAATGGTGGTACTGGATGATTTTGAGCCTTTATCAGCCTAACCTTTTCACAGGATTATTTTTGTGGATAGATGTTTGGAACATGGACAGCTATGGATAGTAAGTAAGTAAGTAAAGTAAGTAAGTTAGTAAGTAAGTTAGTAAGTAAGGAAGTAAGTAAGTAAGAAAGTAAGTAAGGAAGGAAGGAAGGAAGGAAGGAAGTCTTAGCACGGATTCAGATAAACTAACTCAACCATTGCATCCATTTTGCTTGGAAAGGGTTTGAGAAAAGCAAAGTAATTACAAATGTGGTGTCTAGTCTTTCAACTCTTTATTCAATCTCTGTGAATAAAAGGATGGCATCGAACAATGATACACCAACTTATTGTACTTAATTTGTATTGCTCCCACTGATTTCTACCTGAACTGTTTAATACTCCCAGGGGAATGTGCTGTTATTAGCATGATTTATGGCAGGGCTTCTCTACTTTACGGTAACTCACAGGTTCAACAGATTATATTGTTATTGTAGTTAGTCATAGTTTCCAGCTGGGCCAGTGTTGCAAAATATTAACCTAAAATTTAATTGAAGACAACAGACTTCATTTGGAAGGGGGAGGTGGTCTGAACAGAAAGGATTTATGTAGATTAAGGCCTATGAAGTTGTTTTTTTCTTCAGGGAACATTGCACAGTTCCAGTATCAGTGGGCAGAATGGAGTCACCTTATTAATTGTATTTAATTTTAACAAAAACATGTAACTTTTAGTTTTTGTCCTGGCTTCAGCCATTGTTTGGCATGCTGCTTCTTGCCCATCCCCAAAGTTGTGTACCCCTAGTCTTAGTGTTGATCAAGATGATCCCAAATAAATAACAATCTCAGGGCTTCCACTCGGTTCACATTTTGGAAGGACATTCCTGTTTACCTCTGTAAGAGAATTACTTTTAGGAAAGTTTGTGTGTGTGTGTATAATGTGTGTGCATGTGTGTATATATATATATATAAAAGCCATGCTGAGTATTTACAAAGACACACACACACACACACATTTTGAGTAAATTGTTTAATGACTTCCCAATCAGTTATGAATTTATTAGTCTTAAATTTTCACTCATTATATTATTCAAACCTGCTGCAGTTAAAAACGAAAGTACTATGAAATTGCTGTTTAATAAAAAACAATTTCCCCTGTTTTTTAGTATTTACCATTTATTGGACAAACACTACGTTTTACTTACATTCCATGGGGAGAAAAAATTCCAGCGTAAACAATGAACTGAAGCAGTACTTAACTTGCAATGCTATCGTGCTTTACCTGGACCATATGCAAAAACTTTATTGCCCACATTACTGTGGGCAATAAACACAACATCAAAAGCAACACAGTTTATATATAAACATAGGTAATTTTTTTCAGCCCTACATGGATATGTAATTAAACAGTATAAAGCACTCAGGAAAATCAATCTGCAGCTTTATATGCACTACATTGAGATCATATCCTGTATTGTACTGAGTTGGTGTGCCTTTATATACAGACACACACACACTTTTTTTAAAAACAAAGATTAGCGACCATTTAAGCTTCTGTTGCATTCAGGTTTCCCTCCCTCTTCCCTACCCATCAAAAATATTCTAAAATCAAAGTGATCAAATAAAGTTTAAAATTCTAAAATGTATAATTATTTCTTCAATTGAGATTTAGGCGAGGTTCACCTTACTCTTTGAAAATCAAATGGTAGGCACACCTTTTCCAGTGAAATTATTAAAAATCATTAAAAAAAAAAAACTTAACACATACATGGATATGATCTTCCCAAGTTAGTTCATAGATAAGTGTGTCAGACAATCAAGTTTCTAAACTGTGCTATAGTTCTAGGTACAATTAAGAAACTTTTAAATGAAAAATTTATAGTGTCATTCAAAACAATGCAATGAAACTAAAAATTTTATCACTGTTTGAAAAGCAACGGTTATGATTTAGACACTACAGTGGGTTGTAACAACTGTAGCACTCTAAAACAGTTAGGTTACATTATTAGGAAGCATTTGATTTTCTCTGGTGCTTTCAGGTTTGGGTCCAGTCAAGCCTGTTTAGGCAGTGGTGTCCAGTGTTTGTCCCAAAGTGTTTGAGCTAGCCGGTTTGAGGAGAGGGTCACTTTCCATTTCTTGCTTCACGCATCTGGGGTGGGGGGAAAAAAACAATACCTCTTTTTAGAAGAGAGCCCTGTTTTGAATTATAGAAGATTCAGTTCTTCAAGTTCATAGTAAGACCCACCTTTTCTCTCAGACAGCAAATTACTGCTATATGTTTGTCCATTTGCTTTAAGTGCACTGCCAACAACATAATTAAGTAACATCCGATAAGCAAAACCTATTCCAATGAAGCAATATAATCTACTTCATCCAAAGCTAAATGACAAGAGCAAAACCTTCAGAGAAAAATGAATGGCAGAATATTTTGCTATAATCCAAAGTATGACCTCAGCAGTGACATTGTTTTAATTGGTGGGTTGTATGCTTTGTTCAATGAGCTGGGTGGCCATGTAAATTGCTTTAATTGAATAAATAATGCTGATGTACAAAAATAGGGACCACTTTGGTGGGAAGGTAACAGCGTTCCATGCGCCTTCGGTGTTTAGTCATGCCGGCCACATGACCACGGAGACGTCTTCAGACAGTAGTGGCTCTTCAGCTTTGCAACAGAGATGAGCACCGCCCCCTAGAGCCGGAAACGACTAGCATGTATGTGTGAGGGGAACCTTTACCTTTACAATTTGGGACATAGATTTATTTATTTTTAATATTTACATAGCCTCCCATCTTTCAACTTACTCAGGGTGGCTTCCAATCAAAGTTAAAACATATAAAACTATATTAAAGCTATAAAATTAAACAGATACACATTTCTCATATCCAACCTCCATTATTTTGACTCTTCACATAAATACATTAAGGCAAATATTGATACAAAAATATTCCTAAAATAGTAAATAAAAATCAACAGTCCAGGTATTGCAGGATTATGGGAAATATTTTTCACTCACACAGACATTGGTCCATTTCCTGTTCTTGGCATCTCTGTACTTTGTTGGTCCAACTCAGACAGCAACTTTAAGATGTTTAATGCAGCCTGGAATAGGGAATTTTTAATTATAACTAATTAAAATTAGTTATATAAGAAGAGCAACTATTACTATATTTGATTAGAATTTTCTTAGACAATGATACTGGATTTGTTGGGAATGCAAATAAAAATAGTTCCTCTGAAGATACAGAATTAACACATCCTTAAATTTTCCCACTGAAAGTTGGAAAGTATATTCTTGTAGAAAAATCTATTTTAGTTTAAACTGTCCAATACTAACTTTTCTCCTTTGTTAGAAACAGGATAAATAAATGCAAGTGACAACTGTTCTTTACTAACACAGTGTGAAAAGGGGAGGTATTGTACAAGAAGTACTTATGGTACTCTTACCATATCATGGCAAGATTCAACATCTTTTCCAATTCCATGACTGATCAGTGGTGGCTGAGAGGAACAATTTATAAGAGACACAAATTCATTCTTGTTGTTTTTGGGGAAATCTTTGTACTCCACCTACAAAGGAAAAATGATTATTTTCAATTGAGTGTCCCTGATTTTTTCCCCAGCAGAAATTCAAGAAATTCAGGCATATTAAGTACTGTCATACTGAAAAGTAACAGCTGGGTTTTCTTTTAAACAAAAATCTATATTCAAATACAGTGCCAAAAAGTCGGGGTGGGGTGGGGTGAGATGTTTAATTAATAACAACTAATAAGACATTGCAGGAGGAGATGTGTGTTATGGTGGCAAAATAATCAGTACTCATAGTAACAAGAAGCACACAATTTAAAAAAATTAAGAAATCTGGTGAGTTCTCATGCAAAATCCCAGTCAAAATTGAGCTACCTCAACAGGTTTGATCCATGTAAAAAGTATGTTTTAAATTTTTTAAATCTTAATAGGTCAATATGGAAGTTGTATGAGTTTTATAGCAACCATGGTGCTAGACTGCCAGCCTACCAGACATGGTGCTAGACTGCTCAACCTTACAGCTGAGAATCTCAAATAACTGGTAGTGATGTTATTAAAGACCCAGTCTACAAGCTGTTACGATGTGGATAAAAGTATGAGTTTTATAATTCTATCTTTCTACTAAAGGTTTGTACCACATTAGGAGCACCCTAACAATGAAATCTTGCCCTGTAATCTTATCAAGATTAGCAAGAGCTGATTGGGAAAACTAATTCAAGATATAAATAGAAAAAATCAAGAATCTATCAACTAACAAGTCTCCTTGGAAAAGTTTTATGAAAGACCTTGCTACAATAATCTTAATTATAGATGGAGGCTGATCAACTGCAATGCTGACAAATGAGTTGGTAAAGAGATAGAGCAAAATAAGCAAAATAAAATATAACAAGATAAAGTAGCACAGGAATAGCCTCCACAGTCATCTATGCCAGGGGTCTCCAAACTTGGCAACTTTAAGCCTGGAGGACTTCAACTCCAGGCTTAAAGTTGCCAAGGTTGGAGACCCCTGATCGAGATTATAGGCCGAGATGACTCAGAAAAACTTCACAAACAGAGGTTGACCTAAACCCTCTTCCAAAACAGTTTGTTGCAAAATGAGTTGTTCAACTACCAAGCCCAACCCTACAGAGACGTATTGAAATAATCCACTTTTAGTTTACCTGGATTCCCTGAACACCAGAAAGGTAATTCAACTGTTCAGAGGGTCTCGTGAGAGGCCCGTGGGGAACATGGCCCAAGGAACTGTTTTTTAAAATGGTTTCAGCAGTAGGAGAAGTGCCACCATATAATAGCTCTCTTGCAATCATGGCTGTCACTGTAGCCTTGGCAGGATTGGGGGCTGCTCTACTGAACTCTTTGGTGTGATGTCCTTGATTGACTCCTACAGCCTGTGCAACCTCAGGGACCATGGGAAGAATGCCAGCAGGAAGCTGCTGATGGCTGAGATAAGGCATCCTAAACTCATCCTCTTTATTACCTAATAAAGAGACAGAATACAAGAGTGGAGATTTAACAGGCAAATTTGCTTACCTGAAAATTGGCAGATCATTGAATATAAAGTCTGAAAAGATGTTGGAAATCAAATCCATTTTTCCCCAAACAAGAGTGAATAGTTCAGGCCTAATATCACTTTGAACGATTTTTAATGCTGGTCAAAAGACTAGAAGAAACTTACAAAATTAAGGAAAATGCATTTTCAGCATACAATGCAAGTAATCTGTCAAGTCCCCATTTTAAAAATCAGATTGTACAGAATTCAATTTTTAAATTTATAATGGATTCCCTATTAATTCAGTATATTCTTCAAAAAAACACCTTGATTTAAAATGAACCTGAATGCAGATTCATTTTTCATACTTTAAAGTTATGCTTTATGACCCACTTGGGGAGGGGGAGCAATTTTATAGCTTGTCCATATGTATTGTAGTTTGAGACTGAATTATTAACTGGAAAACCATCAAAAATGTTTGAGAAACTGCCTATTTCTGATTAATATCTACTTAACTATCTGATCTCTGCATTTATGTCATTGAGAACATTTATCTTTCACTGTTGCCAATAATCTGTTTCTATTTGAGATTATCTTTTTCTTAATTGTTGCAGAGCAAATAGTATGACAAACTATATAAACACATATACAAGTAATTCTAATGTATCTTCATCAAATCATAAGCATCTACTTAATAGCCAATGTACTACCTCTTATTTTTCAAAACAATAACATTTATATTTATCTTCTTAAATTCATGTTTTCAAATTTATAGTATTTATAGAATGTATTTACATTTTGCTTTAAATTGTTTTATATCAGCAATTTACTATAAGTCTTTATTTCTTTATTTTAATCATAGACTCGATATAATTATTGTAGAAGGAAAACAAAATTAAGGTCACTTACTACTAGATGTTTCTTCAGACCCAGGTTCAAAAAAAGTTACTTTTCTTCCATCACCTGGCTTTTTTACTGGCGTCTAACAGAAAATATATTCAGATTTATTATTGTATTAACTTGAATGCAGAAGATGAGACTATAAGTCAAAATAACAATCTTCCTGTCTTGTTTTAATATGCCTTTACAACTCAGCCTGGTCATTTCACATTTGCTTTCCCACTATTGTGAATACCTATGAAAGTTGTAATTACAACCTTCTTCTGCAAAAATATTGTTTGGAGATAGATAGATAGATAAATAGATAGATAGATAGATAGATAGATAGATAGATAGATAGATAGATAGATGATAGATAGATAGATAGATATAGATATAGATATAGATATAGATATAGATATAGATATAGATAGATATATAGATATATAGATATATAGATATAGATATATATTCTTTCTTAGTAGTCTTAATTTTTTTTATGGAAAGCACCCATAATTAGCTGGAGTTGAGTGTTCATTAAATCTAGGTATTACTTCATAAATAATGATATCAATCAATCTTTTCTTACCTTTTCTTCTGTCTTTAGTGCTGGCTTTGGGGGCTGTGGCTGGGGGACTTTAAATCCTAAGAGTTCCAGCATGTTTTCAGCTGCATTGCGTTTGGCTACTTTCTTGTTAGTTCCCATTCCTTCAGCTGTGTGCATGCCAACTTTCACCTAGAATTACAGAAAAAACAAAGTTTTTTTTCATTTCGTTTTGATTTTGCACTTTTGAATTAGTATTGATTCCTGGCAACACAGAAGAGGTTTCTTTCTAGGTCTGAAAGAGACTGGCCCAAAGTTCCCCAGTTGGCTTCAGTGCTTAAAGCAGAACTAGAACTCAAGTTACTTCACTCCCAGTTCAGTTTCTTAATCACCATGCCAACTGGTCTTGTATCTTTTGATAAAAAACAGAAGCACAGATGATCGTTAGCAACATATTCATGTAAATATAGTCTGACAGAAGACCCATGTCAAATGAAAAGATAAATTAGCCCACTCACTGCCTTCATCTCATCTGCTGCAGGACAAATACACAGACAAATCCATGTTATGATCCCCCTTAGAGATTTTTTGTAACGCTGCAAATTCTAGATTCTTAAAATCTCTATACTGTTCTATACTATCCCTATAAGTATGGATACCAAGTAGGTAAGTTAATTAGGACTGGATTAGGGACTTCTGTCCTCACTGTGAGTTGTGCTGCGGGGGCGGGGGATGCCAATCTCATTGTTCACATGTACTGAAATACATTATACAGTACATTACAGTACATTGTTCACATGTACTGTAATAAAGATAACAACAATAACAACAACAACAATAATAATAAAAAGTATTCTCTACTGGCAATATTAACCAGACTTGACCTTCCTTAATTCTGAGTCCAGACAAGGTCAGCTGGATGCTAGCACAGAAAAATGAACTAGAATATTAATATTTAACATATGAATTCAATAAATGAATTTGTTAGAATTAATTTATGCAAAAAAAAAAAAAAGAGTGCCAAATTGTTCAAACCTGCATAACGAACTCCCGGCGCCTTGGCAATCCACGCTCTGTGATGAGCATATACTCTGGCTCTTTCTCTTTCTTTGCTTGTTGTATTTGAGCCAGTCGGCTAATAGGATTCATACCCTGGCCGTATTCAGGACTCGTCTGCAATTTGGACAGAAAAAGCTGACATCAGCTAACAGCTGTTAAGAAAAATTGTAACACAGCGCACTCACATTACACACTCTTAAGGATCATGGGTGTACATTTTTATTCTTGATTTTATAGACCGTGGTAATTTGAAAGCACCAAGTAAATGTACTTAGCACATCATGTTTATGACCGACTTCTGCATAAGGCTAAACATGCAGGCCAAACAAGAACAAGAAATGCCTACTTAGCAAGCCTTCATTGAAACAGAGTTAGAGAACTTGGTTTACAGAAGGCAGTAAGCACGTATAACAAATCAAGTTATATAGGAGTGGCACAATGACAACTGAGAGTTACAATATTCAATATACAGCAACTGAGAGTTACAATATTCAATAATGCAAGCCAAGGTCCCTTTGCTTCACCTCTGAAATTTCCTTGGATAGCTATATTTTTCTCTCACCTTGACTATTGTTTTCGTTTTCTTTTTGATTCGTGGCTTCATTTTCTCAACTGTAGGAAGGGGAGGCAGTTTCTTCAACTCCTCTAGGACTGCAATAGCTGCATTCTTTTTTGAAATCTTCTTGCTCTTGCCTTCACCTTCACCCATGAACTCGCCCACAGATACCTTTGTAACAAAGCTCTTCATATGCGGAGGACCACTCTCCCGGGTCACCTGTTTCAGAGGTAAAAACTGAGTGAAAGCGTGATAAACACTTATTAAAAATGGTAAAGTACAATGGTTGTATCAAATTTCATTCACATGAGCTAAACTGAAATTTGTGGGGGAAGTATTAAGGGGTGATCAATCAGCATTCTTGATAAACAGGATATAATTGAATTTTAAAAACTTCCCTGTTTATTATAGTATCCCTCCAGATTAAAAGTCTAAACACAGATAAAATCTACACATTTAATAGCATGGTTTTTGTTATCTTACTGTCATCGTAATAAAATTAGTCCCTTACGATGTAAATATTTTGACCAGCACAATTTTTTAAGGATATTTTTAAAAATAAAACTACTTGGCCATGCTTTCATACTAGCATTAAACAAATATCCTTATATTAATTCACAATGAAGAATCATATGCTATTGCTAACAGATATACTTGAATACTCTTTTATACTTTTATATTTCATGCAAACAATATCAGAAATATAGTACTGTACATTCTTAAACATGAATACATGTGACCTTTAAAAAAACTCTCATGCCAATACACTCCAACAATTGTGATCTTTAAATTCTAATGCTCAGCCCAATGGCAGCATTTGGACATCACACTAAAACATAGTTTACTGATGTGCATGAAATCAAAATGAGTCAAAGCTTCCCATCTTTTTTTTTTCTTGACTATTTCCACTGTCAGAAATAGAAATTCAAACTGTGGTTTCTTTAATGTCTGTTGTGGTTGATCCACAGTACAGTAAACTACTTTTGGGCATTATGTGTCAACACAGCCAATAGATTCAGCAATCATTCATAGACATCCCTTTGCCGAAAGAGATTTCTGACTTTTCCCTTTCACACTTTGACACCCCCTCCCATTCACACTGCAGTCCCTTCTCAGCTATTTCTAAAGACTTGGAGACACTTCTGGAATAATGTGGGACACACTCTAAGGATTGCAGCAAAAATCAGGAATTCCACATGCAAGTGAAAATTATCTTTGGCTCATCTTTAAATTTTAACTTCGAACTAATATATTTGTATATCCTATAATTTAATGAACTCTATTAATACACAATGATGTATTAGAACAGGATACTTGTGACATCTTTCATTCTATTCTATTCTTTATGGAATAATTTAGCTGCTGCCAGCATATTATTTCTTTTAATTATCATACCTGTATTCTATTAAGAGGGGAAACAATTTAACTATTGGACCCAGGAAAGAAACATACTCTAATACAGTTTCAAAGGTCAGTCAGATCTGACCCAAATTTATTATCCCTGTCAAATGTTTTACTGCCTTCAATATGCTAAAATAAAACCGCTTTTAGAGCAATTAACTAAACCTACCTCAAAATTCACAGGCAAGTTCCTTTTAAGTGCAATCTCAAACACTTGGCTTATTTCAGATTTATTGAGATTTTCATCATCTGGTTCTCTCCCATTTATCTAAGAGAAGAACAATTACATTGAAGAGGCACAGCTGTCATACTAGCTCACTAACAACAAGACTACTACACACAGTAGAGGGTTAGTATAGGAATGTTAAGCATGTCTTCAAAGGCAGATTAAATTGAAGGCTCAGGGATGTCTCACTAGGACTACCTAACATGCAAGTGAAGTGCCCAAAAGTTATTGTCTGAAAAATCTGTGAATATTCTGAAAGATGCAGGAATACATACAAGGAAAGGATATTTGATGTATACATGCAACAGCTTGCAGTAAGCATGTAAAAAAAAAGGCAAGAAACTTTAGAGTTTCAGCAGGTATTGCTTGTATTTGTATTGCTGCACAATACAATTCAGCATGTGTTATGTAAAGAAAGACCAATAAGATTTTTTTCCTGTAAATTTTACCCTTTCCCAGCTACTTTCTGAGGAACCATGCAATTATTGCTATGTATCCAAGGGGAGCTCTGAATCTGGATTGTTCTAACATTAGCCCTTTGCCCCTAGCCTACAGTTATATTATAAACTAATACCAATATGGGCATTTAAAGCATATAGCTTAGAAAGGAACACAGTATTATAATAGGCAAGGCATAAACCCCTTTTCTTTATTGTAATTGTGAAACTTTTCCAACTGTTTATTCTATACTTAAAATATTAAAAGTAACCCTATTTGGGGCAAAATCAATGCGATTTCTGAAACCTGGAAAAATGCCAAGTATTTTTTTTTATTCAATTTTAGCTGATTCTATATTAAGAAAAAAAAGTATTGCTATAGCAATAGCATTTGGACCAAGGGTCTTCAAACTTGGCAAGTTTAAGACTTGTGGACTTCCAACTCCCAGAATTCCTGAGCTAATATGACTGGAGGAGGAATTCTGGGAGTTGAAGTCCACAAGTCTTGAAGCTGTCAAGTTTGAAGAGCCCCGACTTAAGACTTCTACACCGCTTCATAGTGCTTTGCGACACTCTCTGAGCAATTTACAAGGCCAGCATATTGTCCCCAACAATCTGGATCCTCATTTCACCCACCTTAGAAGGATGGAAGGCCGAGTCATACCCAACACACACTCTTATTTTAAAAATATAAGGAAAAGAAAAAAAAAATCAGATTCGTAGAATGCTTAAATTTTAGCACAATATAAAGTTTACAAGTTTCCATACTTGGCAACAAGTTTATAATTAAACATGTTGAAAATCTTGCAGAATTAAAGGCAGATAATAATTCTGCGCACATCTCAAGAATTTGAACTGATAGCCATCTTCAAATTTTTTAAGTATTACACAAAATGGAACTAATTTGTGTTTTTTCAGCACAGGAAAGGACTTGGACCAAGAGGTTCAAAATTCAACAAGGGAATGCTTGCGTAAACTTCAGGAAGAATTTTCAAATAGTACAAGATATTGGGCAGTGAACAAATTATTTTAGAAATCTGTAGACTTTATTAGTAGCTTAATAGATTTATTTCATCAGCATGAGACTAAACTAGCTTGTTTGGGACATAGCTTCCTTTTTTTAACTCCATTTCCAAGTTTCAGAGAAATTTAAAAAAAAATTTAAGCAAGTAAAAAACTTATTGTGTATGTCATCCTAACTTTAAATGGACAAGCTTTGCTACTGTCCAAGCCGGCAACATTAAATCTCATTAATATTGTCCAATGTGCTACATTGTATTTGAAAATATTATCACAAAGATAATTCTAAAAAGTGGGTAGTTCAAATCAATACCTAGTTTTCTAGTGCGGACTACAGTGATCAATTTGACTGACTACGTCAGGGTTGAACTGTGGAATTCTTGGTGCTTTCTGAGCTTTATTGTATATTTGTAGATGTTTCATTACCCAACTAGGTAATAAAATTAATGCACATGAGTGTGGGACTTTCTGCTTGTTTATATATAGAAACTTGCTGTGTCAGTTTTGATGGAATGTGCTTTCCTCCTTGTTCTAGCTTTTATATTAGACTGGTTTTGCCCTCTGAAACCACTAGAAATATATAGGCAAGAAAGACAAAGCCTCCTATATTTCATTTTAAAAGCCAGGAATTTTCTTTGACAGAACTCTCTTTATTCTCAATTCCTGAACAAATTTTCCATTGCAAGTTAAACACCTGGCATTTAAACAAATCCATGCATATTTGTATATATTTCAGTAATACTGGCAAATAAGATGCTTGAGAGAATGATTATTTGTTCAAGCAATTCTGAATAAGAGAGATCATGAGAGAAAGTCAGGTTATGACACAAAGGTAACAGATGTTTTGTGTCAGCTATTTTTATGGTGTCCACTTAAAATCAAATCAAGCAAGCTTCTGCTCATATATCAAAGGACTTTAAGCCTAATTAAAATCATACAAACGCAGAAGCCTGAACACGTTGTTCAGGCTGCTCATAGTAAGCAGCTATATGCTACACATGCTCTTCCACTTACAGCAGCAAAACAATATTGCTATGCCATGCAATGGTACACATCACAAGCACAACCTCCTCTCTTTCAAATTAGTTTCATGCAAAATAGCTTCATACAGGATGAAGATCATCAAGAAAGCCAGAGCAAACAGCAATTCTTTAGAATTATACTGCTACAAGGCAATAATGACGTGGGTAGACAAAAGAAAAAACAAGTAGGATTGATGCTATTTAGAAAGAGTCTGTATACGCATAGCTTTTCATACAGAGGATGCTTTGAATACAGAAGTGAAAAGTTCGCAGATTTTGATCTTTTGAGTTTAGAGGAGTTTGATAGCAATGTTAGACAAGCACCCTACCAAAGAACCTGTAGAACTGCTATCAACCAGCATTACTAGCTATAATAAGAAGTCCTGTGGTACCTTAGCTTAACAAAAATAAGTTTCTAGAGATCACAGGCCATGAAGTGCACTTTTCATATAGGATAGTACTCATGCATCTGATGAAGTGTACTGTTATCCACAAAACTAATGTAAAAATGAATGTTGTTAAACTTCAAGGTGCCACAACACATTTTATATGCTGCAAGAAGACTAATATCTCTCTAAAAACTAGTACTAGGCTAAACAGGCAGCTTCTTAAAGTACACCAAATTAATCAATTATACATCAATCGCCTTTCACAAATGCATGTGGATAGTACCAATAATTCAGTTCTGCTGCAAATGGGTTACATTTTTTTCCTGTAAACTAAAATATAGAGCTCAAATAAATATTGGAATTTGTGGTGCAGCTTAACTGTTGATAATTACAGGAGGATTCATACCAGACAATTAAAAAAGAGACCTTATTAATAACTTTTGACTAGCACTGCATGAAATAGAACTATAGAATTCTTTGCTGCTACGGTATTACTTAAATATATTCCCCTGCGAGAAAGTAGCTTATTTCGGCAATGCTTTATGACCTACAAACATACTGTATTGAATGGGATTACTAGGCAACTTTTTTGCCATCAGTTACCCACTGATTAGGATAATTGGTAAGGTACTGGTTTCACTGTTACTAAATTTTGGTAAAGTGCATCATATGCTAGCCACAGAAGTTCAGAAACAAAATGTGATTTTATTGAGTGAACTCATCAAACTGCAATTTTTTTGAATAAATAATAAACAAATGTAACTTAACACAGTATGTAAATCCAGGCACTAAGCCACAAGTAACCAAGAAAGAATGTTTCAACACTGGGCAATGTAAAAGCCTATGAATACTGAAAAACAGGTTCATGCTAAGCCAGCAGTGTTTCCTATCCTGCCAGTTTATAATCAATTCTCATTATTACTCTCCCTGACTAGCTACACACTAGAATGGATTACACATCCATACTGAATGTACTACTTTTATCCTTTAAGCTGCCTTGGAAAACCACTGAGTCCTAACATGCAGCTTAAAAGTATTTTAAGCAAACAAAATTATAGTTTTGTTTATTGTAAGATGTCTGTAGTAAAATGATTTCTATTTGTTGACATGTTGATTCTCCTGCAATCAGCTCACATGTCTCTCAGATGCTGTAACAGCAAATAACAGATTTATTTTTGATTAGCTAGAAGTACATGATGGATTCACTATAGCTAAACTGGGAAAGCCACCACAGGAACAGGATCAATGCCCCCAAAACAAAGTGCATATAGGTCTTAAAATATCAATGCCACAGCATTTGCACAAATTTAAACAGAACAACACTCTCATTTTCAACAAACTTCAAAGCATAATCAAAAGTTTTGAATGGACTTGGATAATGCTCCAGACATACTACCTCTGGTTTCTCAGGCAGGGGCTCGTTTTGCAGGATTTTCAGTGCTTTAGCAGCTGCATCATGCTTAGCAGCCTGTCGTGTTCTACCTTTCCCATGAAACTGCTGTCCCCCTATAGAAAGCTCTACTTGATAGAGCCATGGTCCTACAGGAAATGGATAGAAGTACCTAAAAATAGAAAGATTTTACATTTCAGATTTCCAGTCCACATGAAGTTACTCTGCCAGGAAATAAAGTTTAAGAGCTTACAATAAAAGCCAATACTGAACCAAATGCACAATGGTTGGCCTTGACATATTTGAATGATATACTACAGCACACACTGTTCATCAGATTAGCCAAACTGGTTCTCTTCAGAAGCATAAAAGAATGGCAGCTCAAAGAATTCCCAACCAATTTGGACAAGGGTTGCGCCTTTGGAGGATTCTTAGTTCAACATTGTATTAATTACAGAATTATCTCCATATAAAGCCAGTAACACAAACATAATGAACCCAGCCCAAACATATTTTCTTCATGTCTTTAATACAATCCCTGTCTGATTTTGGTGTATAACCAGTGATTCCCCAAAAATATGGGTGAAATCCATATAATTCTTCCAAAACTTGCATTCAATATTGAATTTAGTTTGTAGGTTTGCTTTCTAAAGAGAGGATTTGCTGCAAGAACCTGTTCTCCTTCAAGCCATCCTCACAATGAAGGAAAAAACTACTTCTGAAATTATAATCTGAAAAAAAAAAATTGTACTGCCTGGCTTCAGAGCTCACAATGTGATAAAAAAAGAAGCACTTATAAAACCCATGGGTAATAATCATACTAAAACCTAACATTCAGGACTGTAATGTAGCTACCAAAGCTAGAGAAAGGCCAATCTAGCAGAAAGACATGTGTGAATACATTTGTACAAAAATGTGTTTCATCCACAAAAGTGGGCATCTAATGGCTTGCCCATGACTCAGTCAAATTTAGTGTAACATGCTATATAACTGCATTGGTTGACAGACTGTTTCTGGGTTCAATTCACTGGTTGACAATTTGCTTCTTATAACAACATATAAAGTTTGGAATGGGGCTGAGTCATCTAAAGCAGGGGTCCCCAACCGCCGGTCCGCGGACCGGTACCACGGAACAAGTCTTACCGGGCCGCTGGTTGCTGGGTGCCGCCATCTTTTTTTGGTAAAAAAGTGCTTCCGGTGAGCTTTTCCGGGTAGAAAGCTCACCGGAAGCACTTTTTCATCAAAAAAAGATGGCAGCGCCCAGTTGATGCCAGTACCGGGCCGCAGCGCCCAGCTGATGCCGGTACCGGGCCGCGGCGTCAAAAAGGTTGGGGATCACTGATCTAAAGGATCCCCATTCCCCGGTTACGGGTCCCGTCTATCAAAGAGTGCCATCTGATAGGACCCAGAGCACCCACTCTTTGGAACATCATCCCCACCAAAGGTTAGACTGGCTCCAACCCTGCTGGCCTTCTGAAAGGCATTAAAGACATCATTTTGTTGAACTGCCGCGGCATCCACTTTCTTTGTTTACTTGTTCATTTGTTTGCCGCCCATCTTGCTTCAAGACAACTCTGGGTGGCTTTATAAACATTAAGCTTACTGATGTAAACTTACCAACATTAAACTTACTAATAAATGCCCAGCACCCTCTTGTTACTTTGAATTATTTAAGATTCATTTTTAATCCTAGCATTTTTGCTAGAACATTTATTCTGGTACAAGGTGGAAAATGCCAAACAGTTTCTCTGAATAAATAGGGAGAAGAGACAATATTCTGAATTGGTAAACAGATGGACAGATGATTTTTAAAAAGCTTAGGATTTTAAACGTGTTAACTAGTTCTCACTGGAGAGAGCAAGCCTATTGCCCAGGACAACAAGTGACAAGCATCAATGCTGGTGGAAGAGGGTATATTATTCTTTTTAGAACACTGCAAAGCAGGAGGCGCTGTTCAACAATATAACACATGCTTTGCCCACTAAGAACTGTTCACAAATAACAAAGAGTACAGGTTTTTTCCACCCATATTCTGTTATCTTAATATAGTTTGGCTCTCAGATTTATTATTTATTTATTATTTATTTATTTATTTATTTATTTATTTATTATTTATTTATTAATTCATTATTTATTTATTTATTTATTATTTATTTATTTATTTTGCATTTCCTATTCCAAAAGGAGGGGGGAAAACTATGCCAGTTCAATCATCCACCTATTATCATATTTATGCTTGGAAAGGTTGCACCATTAATTTGTGAAGGTAAATTACAGTGCTTTACCAGTGACTTCATTGCATGAATTGGAGTGTACTTCAATAGCTTTACATTAAGTATATATTTGGTTAATTCATACATAAAACTTGCTGTTTCTGGAACCACTATAACATAATCACTTTGAAACGAGATGGGCAGCAAATAAATTTTGTAATAAAAACAAATAAATTTAAAATAAATTCTTCAGAAGCAAAACTGTTTTGGGTAACGCAGGATTTCACTATATAAAAGTGCTGAGGTATGACCTACCGTGGGGGATAAGCACTGCCTCTCATATTGTAGTTGTAGGTGGATCTCATCTCTGTGTAAGGATCTATAGGCTTGTACATAGGTTTCTTTCCCAGTTTCATACAAAGCGCATTCAGCTCCACTGTGGGGGTTACACTATCTAAAACAAAGACAGAGCAAGTGTTAAAAAGTGAAACTCTTTAGTTTCATGCAATGCTGAGAACACTTAATCTGAGGGGGCTTTTGGGGGTAGGGGGAGAAGAACAAGATTTCTATGTAAAATGACAGACAGTAACTATATTGCAAGTCTTAATGTAAACTTGCTAAGGGAAGGTACTTGTTTTAATTAAAAAGTGTTAATGGAGGAGGGCGGAGCTGGCGTCTGACGATACGGCATGCGATCTTGGAGGTCTGAGATCGCTGCCGATATCTTTGCTCCTGGACGGTCGAAGTGGATCTAAACCGTCCCGAAGAGACGGTGAATGTAAAAGAGCTCATCCTGTCGATCCCAGGGATATCGCAAAGTCCCTGGTAGATCCAGGGGAAGCTCTTTTTGCCAGCGGCAAAGAGGCAGCCATTAAAGCTGCTGAAGTTGGGACAGCTCCGAAACGAAAGAGAACGAAAGAGAAAGTGTGCCGGTTTGGTGAGAACTTTTCTTTATTTAAAGATTTGAGAGGACACCCTAAGGGAAAGAAAGAATCTGTGAAAGTTTTTTGACAGAAGTGAATAAGCGGTGATTTTAAACAGGAATGTCAACGAAATATTTTTATTTATTTTTCTTATTGCTGATGAACCTATATTTTGAAACTGGACTGGTTTTTTCCTTTTTTTTAATCTACTCTTTTCTTTCCCCTTTTTGATTTTATATTAAGCCAGCGACTCCCTTTTAGTCTTTTTTTTTTTAAAAAAAAATATTTTCTTCCTTTTTAAACTAATTTTTATTATACTCTGCTGGAAAAGAAGGGGGAAAGTGAAAGCTAAAGAAACTTTGTAACACTGCCAACTAGAGGCTTGGAAGTACTCTACTTTTCCTTTGACCAGACAAAGCTGAGAAAGAATTGAGACTTTTTTTTCAAGGACACTGCTTGTTTGATAAGATAGAGGGAAGAGCATGGGAGAGTATTATTGCAGGTGCTCTTCTGGGTTTCTATCAACAGCTGGAGTCTGGCGTTGAAACCTAGGGAAAAAAGGTGATATGTTTTTGGAGAAGAGTTATAATAAGAGCCTTGGATAATTAAACAAAGTGCAGTGTACTCTTTTTACAGTGTGCTCTAAGTTGTGCTATCCCTCCTCACTAGCTTTATTTTATTTCATTTTATCTTTTTTTTTTGCAATAGCTATTTGGATCTTTGGCTTTGTTGGAGCTTGTCTTTGTTTTTCTTTCTTTTTTCTTTGGAAGTCCAATCTCTACGCTTGCTTTTTATCTTAAAGGGAAAGCTTTAGTATTAATGTTTCCTTTTTTTAAGGGAATAGCCTTTTTTTCTCCTTTCCTGGTATTTTTGTTTTTTCATCTACCTTTCTGGTTTATTTTTATGTACTCTTTTCTATTTGAGACCTCTCAATTGGATTAAGGTGTTGAAGAACCTGAAGAATTTTTCCTTTTCTTTTCTTTTTTCCAAGCTTTTTTCTTCATCTAACCACCGATTGGATTAAGGTATACAAGAACCTGAAGAAATTTTGTCCTCTCTCTCTCTCTTTCTTTCTTTCTTTCTTTCTTTTTCTTCTTCTTTTTTTAATCATTACTATTTGGCTTCTTTTTTCTACTATTTTTACTTCGAACTACAATTGGTTATTTCACAATTGGATTAAGGTTTAGAAGAACCTGAAGATTTTGAATTGCTTAAAATGAGTAGGAAACTAACAGCTCCTGGTTCTTCAACTTCTACTTCCTCCTCTCCACCATCTGGAGGACAACGTTCAATACAGACAATTATAAAGCAAGAAAAAGAAAAAGAAAAAATGACTCTGCAGATGATTATGCAAGGAATTCAAAATATTCAAGCAAGATCAGAGAATATTGAAAAGAGAATAGAGAACATTGAACAAAGAACAGGGAAAACCGATGAAAAAGTGGAGAACATCCAACAAATGATGTTGAAGTATGATGAGAGATTCCAACAAATTGAAGAAGAAGATAAACAAAGAGACAAGAAGATTAGAGATATTTATAATAGGTTAACGGTGGTTGAACAGGATAAAAGTGGTACGTTGAGATGGGAGATGGATAGATCAGAATTCTATCTTAGATTCCAAAACGTAGAGGAAGAAAAAGGACAAAACTTAGCTGAGATAATGATAGAAATATTGGCTGAAACTTTGGAAATAACTCAAGAAAAGATGATGGATGGAACAGATGAGGTTTATTGAGTTTTCACAAGATATGCGATGAGAAATAGCTTACCAAGAGAAGTTCACATTAGATTTACAAAGAAAGCCATTAAAACGCAAATATTGCAAGTGGCAAAAGAGAAAACATTGAAATATAAAGACAAGGAGATTGTGGTTTTGAAACAAATACCCAGAAGAATGAGAGAGATGAGAAGAGAATACCAATTCCTGACTAAAATGCTACTTAAAAAAAGAGGTGAATTATAGATGGCTGATTCCAGAAGGTTTAATGTTCACATGGCAAGAACAGAGACATAGAATTGACTCAATTGAGAAAGTGGAATTATTTTATACAGAATTTTTTGTAGGGAAAGAGGAAGAGGCAGAAAAAGAAATCTCACTAATTGAATTCCAACAGAACTGCCAAATGGCGATTGAAAAAGAAGAAGGTGCTATAGGTGGAAAGGTGGAAGCTAAAGAACAACGTGAACCAAGATCTATGAGAGCTGCTAAACCTAACTACAAAATATAACCATGGAAGAGAAAAAAATGATTACAATTAATATAAATGGACTTAACTCAGCCGTTAAAAGAAGGAAAACCTTTCATAAATTAGAGAAATTAAAATTTGATATAATTTGTCTACAAGAAGTACATATTAAAAAACAATATGAACAATTGTTGATACAGCCAAAACTAGGGAAAATATTTACTTCCTTGACACAATGTAAGAAAAGAGGAGTGGTTTTATATATTAAAGAGACCATCCCAGCAAAATTGATTTATACCGATGATGACGGAAGAATATTAATGGTGGAAATAATGGACAATAATACGAAAACACTCCTGATTGCAATCTATGCCCCGAATGACAAACAAGAAGAATTCTACAAAAAATTACATATGAAAATAACTGAACTGGACAATGCTAATATAGTTATGATGAGAGATTTTAATAGACAATAAATTGGACTATACAGCACAGAAAACAATAAAGCAAAACAGAAAGACTCTCCCTAAATCTTTTTTTAAAATGGTAGATGAAATAAACTTAAAAGATACATGGAGAGAAAGAAATGCCAAAACTAAACAATACACCTTCTATTCAAATAGACACTTATCATGGTCCAGAATAGATATGATATGGATGTCAACAGAATTAATAACTAATATTCAAGAAATAAATATTGAAACAAGTATTTGGGCAGTTCACAATCCAATGACAATTAAATGGAAAGGACAAAAAAGAAGATCTAGATGGATGTTAAATAATACTATTTTAAAGGAAAAAGACTTCACACAGTGGATGGAGAAAGAATTGGTTTTTTTCTTTAGAGAAAACAAAAAAGAAGATACATCAATTCAGAATGTATGGGATACAATGAAAGCATATGTTAGAGGCTTGATAATAGACTATACAAGGAAAACAAATACTATGAAAAGATTAGCCTCTAAGGCCTTAGAGGATGAGTATAAAAGACTTGAAAAAGAGCTACAGAAAATGCCACAGAAAAAGGACATCAAGCTAAAAATGGATATAGTTAAACATAAAATGGGTCAAATAGAAAAAGAAGAATTAGCACAGAAAATTAGAGGTGCTAAACAGAACTACTTTGAAGACGCAAACAAACCAGGTAGATGGTTAGCATACAAACTGAGAAAGGAGAAAGAATCAAGGAAAATATTGCAATTAACAGATGACCAAGGCCAAGTTTGCTATGGTAGTAAAGAGAAGAAGGAAATCATTCGAGACTTTTATGGGAAACTATATATGCAAGAGAATATTGATGAGGAAAGAGTTAAACAGTACTTACAGAATGCTAATTTACCTCAGATACCTAAAGAGATTGAAACAATGTTAGAAAGCAATATAATGATGATGGAGTTAACTGAAGCACTCAAGAAGCAAAATAATGGAAAGGCACCAGGCCCAGATGGACTTCCGGCAGAATTTTACAAAACATTACAAGAATCGTTGAATCTTCCATTGCTAGAAGTTATGAATGAAGTTATGTTAAAGAAGAAGATACCTAAATCATGGTCAGAAGCCTATATTACATTTATTCCAAAAGAGGAGGCTGATCCATTACAAATTAAGAACTATAGACCTATTTCTCTACTAAATGTAGATTATAAAATCTTTGCTTCAATATTAGCAGAAAGACTTAAAAAATATCTAAATAATTTTATTCATCCTGAACAAAATGGATTTCTGCCAAAGAGACAAATTAAAGATAATATGAGAGTAATCTTGGACACTTTGGAATACTACGAGGCACATCCTGAAAAACAAATGGCTCTGATATTTCTAGATGCACAGAAGGCATTTGATAATGTGAATTGGTGATTCATGTTATTACTGCTGGAACAGATGGGCTTCGCTAGAAAATTTATTCAAGCAATAGAAGTTATATACTATAAGCAAATGGCAAAGGTAATGATAGAGGGAGAACTGATAGACTCTATTGGTATAAGAAAAGGAGCAAGACAAGGGTGCCCACTATCACCTTTGTTCTTTGTGTTAACTTTGGAAGTGCTAAACAGAAATCTTAGAGATGAAAAGAATATAAAAGGAATGAAAATCAAAAAGGAAGAATTTAAGCTGCAAGCATTTACAGATGATCTGGTTTTCATCTTAGAAGACCCTCTAAAAACAGCACCAAAATTGATAGAAAAGATAGAGACATATGGAAAGGTGGCTGGTTTGAAAATAAATAAAGATAAGACAAAGATCTTGACAAAGAATATGCTATTAAGACAAAAGGAAGAACTGGCAGACCTATTGAAAATTCAGGTCACGAATAAGATCAAGTACTTGGGGATATATTTGACAGCAAGATGTAGTACACTAAAAGAGAATAATTATATCAAACTTAAACAGCAGATAGCGCTAGATCTGGTGAAATGGGAAAATTTACAATTGTCACTAATAGGGAGAATTTCAACAATCAAGATGAATATATTACCCAGAATTTTATATTTGTTTCAAACAATTCCAATTAGGCTTGGAAAAAATTACTTTGAAGATTTAAATAAAATTGTGTTGAAATATATATGGCAAGGTAAGAAAGCAAGAATAAAGTTAAAACTTTTGCAAGATGCTAGAATTAGAGGAGGATTTGGTTTGCCTAATTGGGAGTTGTATAATCAAGCTACAAATCTGATGTGGGTTAAGGAATGGATAACACTAAGAAATACTAGATTGTTGACATTAGAAGGACATGATTTGTTGTTGGGGTGGCATGCTTTTTTATGGTATAAAGGAACTAAAACACAGGGGTATTTTAGAAGACATTATATACGGGAGTCTCTGTGGTTAAACTGGGAGAAGATTAAAAGACAATGTTATTTGAAAATTCCAGTCTGGCTATCGACTATTGAAGCATTTTCTTATCCTATAATATACAAAAAGGAACAAACAGTTAGATATGGTGAAATATTGAATGAAAAGGGTGAACTCAAATCTATACAAAAACTAGAGGGACAAGGTATAAAGATGAATTGGTTTTCATATGCGCAAATACATTCAAGGTATGATAAAGATTCCAAAATGGAAGGTTTCTATGATAAATTGACTGATTTAGATAAGATTTTGATAGGTACTGATGAAAAGGTGATTAAAAATTTGTATGGATATTTGTTAGAAATTAAATTAGAAGAACAAGTTAAAGAAACTATGATTGCTTGGGGGAAGAATTTTGGATATGGGATTGATTTAGAGAAATGGCAAAAATTGTGGTCTCAAAATTATAAAATGACAATGTCAACAGCATATAAAGAAAATTTGTATAAGATGTTTTACAGGTGGCATTTTCCCCTGACAAGAATGTTCAAGAATAAATCCGAAAAATGTTGGAAATGTCATCAGACACCTGGCTCATATTACCATATGTGGTGGACTTGTGTGGATGCTAAAAAAATAATGGACTAAAATCCACATGTGGTTGGAAAAAATGACAAAAAAACATATAGACTTGAAACCAGAGATATTTTTATTGGGAATTTTACCTGAAATATATAGTAAAGACTTGAAATATCTGATTGTAAATGTATTAACAGCAGCTAGGATTGTATTTGCCCAAAACTGGAAAAATGAGAAAACACCATCACAGGAGGAAATCATTAAGAAAATATTGGAATGTGCTGAAATGAGTAGATTGACATTTGAAATTAGAGAACAAAAGGATAAACAATTTTATAAAATCTGGGATCTATTCTATCAATGGTTAGACAATAAAATACAGTAATGAAACATGTAGACTCTTAGAAAATAATAAATATATAAAGATGTATTTCTTTCTTATTATATCTACAAAATGATTTTAGGATAGATTTGGGATGATAATATGAACTGTTATCAAACAAACTAAGTAAATTATGATTATCTTGTAAAACATGAATGAATAAAAGTATAGTCAAATGATTGATTAATAATGATACTAAGGTATTTAATTTTTGATTGAAAATACGAGATTATATGCAATGTAATTGTAATTGAAGACTATGAAATGGAAGCACAAAACAATTTGTAAACCAACCGGCACACTATATGTATACATATGGAAGATGGCTTGATGTTTTTATGTTTTGTTTGTTTATGTTTGTTTTTAAAAACAATAAAAACTTAAATTAAAAAAAAAGTGTTAATGGAAATGATATGTGAAGACATTCTTCCTATAGCATATAGGTTACCTGATATTTGCAAACAGTATTCAAATACAAGCATTTAATTAGAAAGTCTTGAACTGCTTGGGCAGGGGAAAAAGTACAGCCGATATTGAAAGTTATATATTACCAAGAAGGTTTGCATTATGTATGCTTGATCAAACACAAATGCTTTTTTTCACTTGACTGAGTATAAACACATGCCCCCTTTAGCTTGCATTTAGCTTTGGCATAATAGCCAACCATTTCTTGTATACATATTATGACAATGTTTGCAAATCACAATTCCACATAAACCTAAAGACTAATAAGTAGGTTTCTTCCAAGGACATTAGTGTTTTCTTAGGCATGTACTTTTGCTGCAGCCTAGTACATATTTCTGAAAACTCAAATGGAAATGACACCTGGGAATAAATGAGACTGTAGCAAGAACAGAGCATATAAATGAAGTTCTCTAGTTGCTACCTAAGATTTAAAAACCCACATTGAGAGGCTCACTGGATTATTTTGCCCTGATAAAATACCAATGTTCTATTGTGAAAGCATTATAGAATTACCAAAAAAAACAAGAGTTCAAGGCTGAAGTTCGCAACAAATCATTAAAAAGCCCATCTATACAACAGCTTTACAGCAAAGCATTAACAATAGTAATCAAGCAATATGCAATATTTTAGGATAAAGAATTAAGAGTAAGGATGAACAGGAGGCAGGCTTACATTCAAAAATGTTCAGTGTTCCCAGAATATGTTCTCCTGGGTACTTCAAACAGTATTTTTTCTCATTTTATAGCCCAAAACTGTTTAAAGCAAAACAGGAAAAGAGAGAAGCAGCCAGATAGGGAAGGAGACAACTGCAGAGTTAATTGAAAATAGATCAGCCTTAATGGGCATGTGTAGGGACAACAAAGGGAAAAAACAATTTTATCCTAGGGTCAGGGTCCAAAAATTATACAATCGGCCCTGTAAATCTAAGGAGGCTTTCAAAAATCAATTGTTAAAGGAATATAAAGGTAGCCCTCACTTAATGACCACAGTTCTGTTGTTAAGTAACACACTCATTAAGCAAAACATCACTTGAGCACAATGTGTTTACAATGTCACATGTCACATTAACTCTGCTTGTTGGAAAACCAGCTGTGGAGTGCACAAACGATGATCATTGACTATACAGATGCTGGGACAGCCATAAATGTGAGAAAGGGTCATAAAGTTGTGTTTTCAGTGCTGTGTAACTGAAGAGTTGCTAAACAGTGCAGTACTTTAGTGAAGTCTATTTGTATATGGTTGTGGGAAAAATAGGAGACAAGGGCATTAGGTATGTTTGACTTACATAAAAACAGCAGGATAAAATAACAATTCCTTTAACGTGAAACCGAAAAACCCACAACATCCCTAAAACAGCTCTTTGTAGTTTAGCCTAAGTTTTCAAGATCAGCTACTTCATGTTCTTAAACACTGCTTTGTGATTTCAAGGAAAGCAAAGACAATTTATGAAAAACAAATTCTGCAGCCATTTCTAAACTTGGCATTACAACAACCATAACAGGCAAAGCCACACTATAAATGGTCTAATTTTCAAGTTGGTAAAAGAACACATCATGCTAATAACTGGCAGTAATGGGCTAGACTTAAAATTATCAGGTTATTCAATCAAGCAAAATGTTCCCCTTAAAACTCTTACGTTTCTGATATTTGCTGGTTGTGATTTAAACATGCACAGTCACATACACTGATATTTAAATCTAAATTGATTTGCAACTCTCAACCTAGAATGGGTCAACTCAAATAGAGGTCTGGCCATTATTTTTTCATATGAAAGAGTTTCTATTTATTTAAACAGACTTGAAAATTATCAGTGAATCTTAAAAGGTCATAAATAAGTTTACTATTATTTTTGTTATGTTGTAAAAAGATATTGCCTTGATTACATTTCAAAATAGGATCAAGTAAGATACTGAATCATTCAGTGGTGGAAAGTCATACATTTGAATACTACACTATTTTTATTTAGGAGTATTTGCTGTTTAGCAAACCTATGTGGAAAAGTATCATTTATATCATTCCAAATGTTCAGTTTAATATAGTCTATCATAATCAGTAATTTTTTTAAAAAATATGTCTTTTTTTAAAGAATAAATTGGTTAATGTTAATATATGTGATTTGCTTCTGGAGTCAAATGCTAAATCAATCAATGGATAGAAGAATTCTTGTTAATGGAATTTTACATTTGTAAATGAAAAATCAATGTGATAATTTCCAAAGTTGAATATTTACATCTGTTAAACAGGAAATTCATTTTCACACAGTATGAGTTCAGTTCTATATAGCAATTACCACACTTTAATTTATCATATACATCTCTCTTCTTTTAAGCCAAGTCATACTAAAATGCAAAGAAAAAAGAAAAAAATATGGCAAGAATACTGTCTATTTTCTTAAAACACGTCAATAAAGCACAAGATTATACCTTAATTTAAAAGCAAGGGCAAAATTCTCAAGTTCTGGCTATAATCTATATCTCACTGTAATTTCTACCTTTCTTATGGCAGCAGCTCATACTGTACCTGGATTCTTTCCTTCATTGCGAGATGGGCGAGCTGTAGGTTTAGGAAACCTTGTCCCGTCCAAAGCTTTGGCAGCAGCTGCATGTTGAGCTTTCTTAATACTAGTTCCTTCAGCTTCCCAGTGCTGGTCCCCAAGAGTCAGCTGCACTGTAAACACCTAGAAATGAAAAGTAAGCTTTAACTTTCTCTGCCTGGTCATGTATACATAATATGTATATGGTGTTCAAATATAAAGGCTAAAAGTTGTAACATCCACATATCATTAGTATAGTATATAGCACACTGATAATTTAACTGTAAAGCTCAGCATTGCTATATAGAGTATGTATAAGCTTCTTAGCAAAACTGGACAAATCCCGTCTACTTTTTAATAAAAGCCTTATTTTTTTGTCTATGGGTTTCATCTCCCCAACTGTCTTTTATTTTTGAAAGGTAAAAAATTATTAAATACATGCACGATCTGGGATCTATTTTGTAACTAACATCTCAAAGTATGTTAGGGCTACGTCTTTAATTTAACCTCATTTGCAATAATTCAGTGGGTATTTTGTTTATATAATTTTGTACTACTGTACATAACCAAAATAAAAGAAACAAGTGGAAAGCAACATAAAAGATTGGCTAAAACATGTAACAGATTTATAGTTAATTGTATTATAAATGTTTTTATGTTGATAAACTGTATAAAGTTACAATGAAAATGTGAAATACTATAAAACAGTAATTACACAAGGAACATTAAAGCTAGTTTTGCATAGTGGTTAAGGCATCAGGATAGAAACCTGGAGACCTTAGGTTTGTCACTTTTTGTCACTGTAGAAAGTAGGCAGTGGCAAACCACTCCCCAAAAATTTTGCCAAGAAGGGATATCCAAACAGTTACCAGGAGTTAAAAATTGACTCAAAAGCACAAAATAAACAGAAGGCACATAGTATCCTTCTATTTTTAACTATGAGCTCAACATTTCAAATTAGTTCCACTGTTACCAAGGGGGGTCCATTTTTCTGGATACCCTCCTTGGAAGGCCTAACTATAATGCAGTTTTGCAATTTGAATTTTCAAATATTTGTTAGGTTAATTGTATAGGCTTTGAAATTTAGAAAGCTACAAAAAAAAAATAAAAGCTTTACAAAATCCAGCCAACTAGGCACATCTTTATCCTCACTTTAAACTAAATTTGCAGCCTTTGTGAAGTAGCAGCTGCCCAAATTTCTATCGTTAGGAATTTCCAGAGTTTCAGAAACTGCCACTGAAAAAGCTCTGTTAACTAGATTTAAATAAACAAACTTAACATTAAAGGTATCAAAAGCCGCACAACCTTTAAAGAGTATAACTAGCACATACTGCAGCACTGCAGTTACTACAATATGTAATATTGGTGTTCATTCATTTTACTTCTATTTCATTACTAGAATTTCATATGAGGCCAAAGTGTAACGGTTTACCCCAAGGTGACTGGTTTTGAGAAAAGTCCACATTGTTCATTGAGCTGTATCAATGTAGAAGCTATTTTTCTTTTTTAAAAAAAATTGTTAAAAGTTTATAAATAGGAATAACACAAAAAAACTAGAAAAATAAGATACAGCGTGAAATAAAGTGGATAAACAAATCAGACACATAAAAATAACATATTTATGTTAAATAACATACACCATTCAAAATGTGTAATATTATAAAATATTTCATAACCATTTTTTAAACAAAGCCTATATGCCTATTAAACTTTAAGCTAGAAACAGTTAATGCAGTAGATATCATTAAAAAAGAAAAACCATACTTATCTTAGCATGGGATACTAGGTGGTTTTGAAAAAGGTGATAGAAAATCACAACAGTAATTAATTCTATTACAAGTTCAGTTTAATTTTTCAAAGCATCTCATTGCATTACCTGAAACCATTCTTGGATTACAATTTTACACATGAAACTGTGCCAATTCAAAATCTGAGCTTTCTGATGTATGGTTTATATTTTAATTTGATTTATAATTTCCAGTTTTGACTTAATATATTGCAATGGGATGTGTTTAAAAACTAAACTGGCCTTGTAGTAGAATTAATTACTGTTGTGATTTTCTATCACTTTTTTAAAAAAAACGTAGGATCTCAAACTAATATAGCTGTACCACAGATTATACGTAAACTTTCTGTATGTCTCTTTCATATACACACATAAAGCCTCTTTATCGAAGAGATCTTCTCCCTTTTGCTAAATACATGATCATCAAACAATTTTACCTTCGAGTGAGCTGGACCCTGCTCACTCAAAAGCTTATATTCAGGCTGAATCTTGTTGAAACGGGCTAACTCATTCACAAGACACATGGGTGTTTTCTCTTTGGGGTTTGCCATGTTAGAAGAAACTGAAAGGTAAGATAAAGCGTTATAGTTTGTAATAATCCCTCCAATAAAACTAAAGAACTGCCTGGCCTCTTAGTGATATGATGTAAACTTAAGAAAATGAAATGTGTCGAATATTGCATGAGCCTTCAATTATTAAAACATACATCAAATGCCAATTGCATTTGATTTCCTTAACTACTGAAAAGTTAATTGATGATTCACTCTAGACAAATTAGATGTCAAGATAGAATTAAGCTTGAAAGCAATATTTAAGCTCAGTGAGTATTGCTATTACAAATTCTGGCAACAGAAATAACAATTAATTTGTTTGGCAAGAAAATAAGCTATGCATCTACGGCCTTAATTTGATGATTAGAGGCTATGTAATTTATATTTGATTGAAATATTATTACAATGGCATATTCATAATAATAAAACCTGCCATTGGAGCTGCTCTCACCCCAAGAATTCACTTGTCTTTACTGTTGTCTACATTATTTTTAAATACTTTTTAAAAATTGCAAATTTCAGTTATTTTTCTGTCTATCCCAATACTTCCTTTAAAGAGACAACTTTTTTGTGCATCACTCCAAGTAGAGCATTATTATTATGTCACCTAATTTCATCCCAATTAGGATTTAAGCCAAAGCATAAATTTCAGAGAATAACAAGGAGATTCAAGTCACAAATGCATGATGTTTTTCTCCTCCGGTCTACAGTATTCTGAGATTAGAATCATATAACCGGAAACAGATTACAGGCTTCCTGATTTGCAGCTCTAATTGCAAGAAAGCTGGTAATGTACAGCAAGACTGGATTTTATCAAGGTTTTATTTCTTGCTTTTTAAAATTACCAGAGTTGGAAACAATAATACTAGGTTTTTTTAATTGCATTAAATTTTATCAAATGGACTAGACAGAATCAATAATGTTATGCGATACCACTCTCATAGTTAGCGTGTACAATATTCAAAAACTAGCACATAGCGGATGCATTCAGCTCTTCCTAAGCATGACTTTCAACCTTAATTTGGATAGATTCTTCATAATGCCAAATGATAGTTTACATCTGTGTAAATAATAAATTGTTACATGTGTTTGTTTATTAAACACACTTAGCTGGATTTGTACAAGGGATTAAAGCTGTGCTTTACAAACCACATTGGCCAGGTTCACATACTGTAGCAAGCAGAAATTAAAACAATTACACTCCTGCTTAGTGTAGCTAAATATTTGATTAAAATTTGAAAATAATTAATAAAGCAGAAGTACAGATCTTAATATTTTCAGTCTAAATCATGATTTAGAACAGGGGTGTCAAACTGGATTTCTTCGAGGGCCAGATAAGCATTGTAATTCTCCTCTGTGGGCTGACCGGAGGGGGGGGGGGAGAGAGACAGGACAGACACCTCCTGCAGCACCCTGCCGGCCAAACTGTGCCCCGTTTTGGCTGGCAGAGTGCTGCAGGAGGCTGTCCATGAGGCCTCCTATGCCCCATGGGGTGGTCCTTCGCTGTTTTCAGGGCGGTCCCGCAGGCCAGATCTAAGCACTCCGCGGGCCGGATCTGGCCCCTGGGCCTTGAGTTTGACACCACTGTATTAGAAGATACAGCTTTTATTGTGATAGTGATTAAAAAGAGCTGCAGGAATAAGTTAGTAATATATCTGGTCGTTTCCTTTCTCTTAAATCAAGCAACTGAAGTCTGAGCAGTAGAACAGGTTGGGGCAGGAGGAAATTATTCAGACTTCTAGATACCAATCTGTCCTTAGAAGCTTTGCTTGGGTTTAATGCTTAAAGAAAAAAAAACATTAAAGAGTAAGACACAAAGTAATTTGTCAGTTGCTAATAGAACCAACATGTGGATCAAAAAACAATTGCCCTAAAAAAAGTGTCATTAAACAAGTATTCTTGCATATTTTACATATTGGAGCAGAAGACACTGCACCAAAAAAAAAAAAAACAGACTTACTGATAAATAGTGAAAGATAGAAGACATTATAAAATGAAATTAGAAAAATGTTTAACTACATTTCTTTTGCAAACACTTGTTGTTTTCACACATTTCAGTCATATGCAATACTTCTTTTATAATAATTTCATTATTTAAAAATATTCCATTAAAAACATAATTTAAAGCCAATGTTTTAACCAGTGACCCTCAACCCCAACCTTGGAGAGTTTTTCTGCAGCCCAGGGGGTGGTGGTTTTACATGCTGCTTGCATCCTGAAGATGGGGCTTTCACATGCTGCAACTGGTGCCAGGCCATGGGCTGAGAGTTGGGGACCCCTGTTTTAAACTAAAGATTAGTATCAAAAATTATCAACATATATCAAAGATATTTTAAAGCTTACCTGCAGCAACACTAGTAGATGTAACAGATGCAGAGGGTAAAGCAGAATTTTGAATAGGTCTACCCGCATTTTCAGAGGGCAAAGAACTAGTGGGAGAAGGAATACTCAAAGGCTGTGCGAGAGATTGGTTCTTGCTTAGTATTTGGCTGCTAGAAAGAGTAGCAGTTGGATTCTGAATTTGAACTTGAGACATGTTTATTTCCATTGAAACCTAATCAGTGCAGGTAAACTTGGCCTTGAATGCGGGTTTTTTCTGTATAAGTGCTTGAATTTGTACCTTTAGAGAATAAAGAAAAAAATGAAATTTTATGTCAGTCAGATGCTTCTTCTTATTTTCTGATTAAATACACAGTTGAGAGGGCTGCCAACACTTTAAAAAAATGAACAGGTTTTGGTTGCAAGGAATAACAAACCTATAGTTTTTAGCTAACCATTCTTGCTGGATTAATCATTAAATCCATTTACAGCTAGGGATCAAAAATAGTCATAAAAATATTTAAATGAGTTCTTGGAAATAATAGTTAATATTTTTCAGTAGGCAATTTTTACAGTTTACTCCAAAAACACCTGATATTGCTCACTTTAAGTGAATCAGGTTTAACATACTTGAATATGAAATGTATAATGGTATTTGATAAACTGTTCCTTCCCAATGTCATAATTAAGCATTTCTAATGTCTGTTATAGTTGGGCTTATTTACTTTTAAAAAAGAGTTTTAGCAGAAAAGTTTCTATATTTCTTCAAAGCTATAAAGCTGACCCATTTTCAGCTTTAGGAAATATACCGGTAAATGCTGCTCAAACGCTGAGTGCTAATAACGTTTATTTATTTTCAAGTACTCTGCAGGCTTTCACAACTGATGCCAAATTTAGAATGGATGTGTCAAACACAAGGTAATTTGCAAGCTACCTCTATTTCTCATTTCATTTTCTTGTTTTTATTTGTGTATCATTTTTGCTGTAACAAGTTAAAGTTATACAGTAGCAAAAATAAGACGAATAACAGCAAGTATCCCAAGTTAAAGAAAATCACAATGACAAGCACAGCATGTATTTTCGTATAGTCGTAGGTGCAAGTGTCACTATGGACATATTTATCTTGATATTTGGCTGCAAACCAGGCAAAACTGATTAAAGTCTTTACTATTTTTTTCTTCGGACCACAACATGAAAATAAATTTGCAATGATTGGATTAGTCAGTTTTTATATAAGAGAGAGAGAGAGAGAGAGAGAGTGGGGGGGGGGGGATCCTGCAAAAATAAAATAGACCAAATTATGAGAATGATTTGTTGCAAACAGGAGAATGAGTTGCTATGTGGAATGGTTTAAAATCTTCCTTCAAAAACACAGGCATCCTAGCTTAATGACTTCTTTTTAGTGATTGTTCAATGTTATGACAAAGCTGAAAAATAATTTTACGACCAGTCCTCACACTTACAATTGCTGCAGCATTCCCCAAGGCCATGTAATTGAGATTTGGGTGCTTTGCAACTGGCATGTGTTTACCACTGTTGCAACATCTTGCATTTATGCAATCACCATTTAGGCACTACACACATGGCTTCTAACAAAACTGAGTCAATGGTGAAGCCATCAATGAAATCACATGTCGCAGTCACATCTCTTTAACCATGCTGACTTCCTTAACAACCACATGATGTCCTGTTTAACTACTGTGACACTTAGTGATAGATTTGCTGGTCCCAATTATACTTGTTAAGCGAAGTCTACCTGTATTGTTGTTATTATTAATCGATGCTATTACTGGTGTAATAGCTTATGACTGACCTTGGATAAAGAAGGGAAGAGATGCTTCTTAGGAAACAATCAGACAATAGAGGCAGTGGCTTAAAGGTCACCCCCCAAAAAAAACCCTCTCAAGGAAGGATCTGCCCTAATGGATCAAGCAGGTAAAAGTAGTGGGGTGAAATCTCTGCCTTCAAACTTGCAAGATTCTGTTAATGTAGCCTTACAATAAGGTAGTTAATTCACGTGGTCATGTTTCCTGTCTACTTTACCTGGAAGGGCTGTCAGCCACCTCTAACGAGTTTAGGGGGAAAAAAACCCAAATACATCTGGAAATATAAATAATGGTTCATCATACATAATGGGATTTTTTTAAGTCACTGAAGCAAGATTAGACACACAGTTCAACTTTAACTTTGCTTTTTTACCACTAAAACTGGCCTCCAAGGGCTGAAATATATTATGAAATGTCTCATGTGAATATAAAATGTTTTGTAACTCTACTTTAAACTGCACATCTCCCCATGATATATATTAAAAATGCCACCTATATGACAGATAATATACTGATGATCCTCAACTTAGGACCATTCATTTTACTATTCAAAGTAAGGACAGTGCTGGAAAAAAGTGACTTGCGACAGGTTCTTGCACTTGTGTCCACTGCAGTGTCCCCGTAGTCACATGATCAAAATTTAGGTGATTGGCAACTGGCATGTATTAACAATGATTGCATATTCCTAGAGACACATGATCATCATCTACAACCTTCCTGGGGGCTTCAGAAAAGCAAAGACAATGGCAAAGCTGGACCGATTAATGACTGTGATTAGCTTAATGATCATGGCAAAAAAGGTCATAAAATTAGGCACAACTCACTTAATGGCTGCATTGCTTAGCAAAAGAAACTCTCGTCCTAATTGTGGTCGTAAATCGAGGACTACCTGTAATGGGCTCCAACATGCTAGGTCTGGATGGGTAAAACAAACTCAGATGAAATTACTGAATCAATGTTGCTTTTGTCAGTGATCAACGTGGTCCAATCCCTGTTCCATCTCCCCAAATGAGATTATCCTGAACGTAAAGCTTCTGTGCCATTTTTGCCTGATGTGCCAATTGTGGACTCTATGGGGTCAGGATGGCTTGGTAATAGTGACTCATGCCCTTCTCACCTTACATATAGGTTAATGTGGCACACTGAAGATGTAGTTCTTTTTCAAAAGCTTTAACTAGTCCAAAATGGGATGGCTTGTCTGTTAATTTGGGATAATAAATTTGTTTACAATTCACCTATGCTTTGGTGCTACATTTCCTACCAGTCTGCTCCAGGTCCAATTCAAAGAGGTAGACACCACCTTTAAAGACCTATGTGGACTAAGATAACCTGGGGACTTATAGGTCTGTGCCGACATAGATTCAGTTTGCATCCATAAAAATGCCCCCAATCTCCTGGCTTTTAAGACTACTTTAAGATTGTATTTCACTGAGTATATATAGGAACCGAGTATACTAGGGTAGTCTTAATTAGATTAGACTGATTAATGGCTGTTCTTCATAATCTATATTTGAAATGTTCAGAATATTCCACCATTCAAGCAGTATAAAGAGACAGAAATAGAAACCATTCTAGTTTATTTATAATATATTGTAAAGCTCTACAAATTACAGTAATCTATATTACATAGAACATTTTAGAACTGTACTGATGGTCAGGAGAGGCCAAAAGGAGTTTAGTTTCAGTACCTGACTCTTTCTTGCCTTCTCCTGCTTTCTATGTGCAGAAAGGTTGGCAAAACTTGATAGTTCATTAGTAATGTCTGTACTGCATGGTTTTGGAGGAAAAGTATTATGAACAACATAAAAGATGTTACAATAGACTAGGGAAATCACTTCTAAAAACTGACAAAACAACATCAAAGTAACTCTTCCTTGACTTCCATCATAAATCTCCACATAGTGGAACCAATTTCTAACTCACAGAAAGAAAGAAAGAAATGACCAAGTAATATTTCATTTATACATATGTATTTCCCATTTTAATTGAAATAAATCTACAAATAGTAAGTGTTCTTGCATAAGAAAGACCAAAGTTGTCATGAACTAGCACTATAATCTATAGCTGTTTTTTTAACTGAATGAATTACACTAATTGAATCTTCTACAAAATGAGTATGGAAGTGCAATACTCTATAATGTCCTTTTCAGAAAACGTATATGCATTCCATCATCTTGACGAATATTCAATGTTTTCTATCAATCTGTTTAGAATGACTCAGTGGCACACTAGAAACACTGAGTCACCTGGATATATCAAAAGATAAAAACAGAAACTTTGCTGAAGGCTCACATCAATTTCACTATTCCAAGATCACTATCAACAATATATCCTTAAATTATATGTTTGTTCTTGCCTCTATATTTGGCCTTGCCATATAAATTAAAAAAAAACATTTCACACAGATTTTGTCCGGCATTTCAATGGTGTATGAATGAGAGTTATGGAACTCCTAAATGAAAGTACTGTAACTGGCAAGCAAAACTAATCCTTAGATTTCAAAAAGAAAATAGAATTGTGTTCTTGCCCACCATAGCTATTCCCAAGCAGTATTTCCATAGAAAGCAGAAAGTCCAAGATTCAAAATGCAACTAAGCTGACAAGAATGTGAAAAGCAAAAAAAAAAAAAAAAAAAACCCTGAGAGAAGAGATAATGAGTACATAAATACAGTGGTGCTTAGAAATTTGTGGATCATTTTGAATTGTCAATATATCTGCATAAATGTTACTTAAAATATGATCTACTCTCCATATAAGTACTAAAACTAGATAAAGAGAATTCAGTTAAACAAAATGTTACACTTGTTCATTGATTTATTGAGGAAAATGATCCAAAGCTACATATTTTAAATGGCAAACAAATGTGAATCTCTAGGATTACAAGTTCATTTGGAAATTAGTGCCAGTTGCTTCAATAAATCAATGGAATGACAATCAGATGTGTGAGTGTGTGGGGGTCCCATCTTATTTAGAGAACAGTATTCTGGTATTCACTATCAAATTTTATTTTTCACCACTCAGATATGTATGGCTTGAACAAAGGAGATTTCTGAAGAAAAAGAGATGCGCTCACCAAGTTGGAAAGTATTACAAAACTATTTCCAAAGAATTTGGACTCTTCCAGTTCAAATCAAGCAAAGGTCAAGCAGATCATGTACAAATGAAGACAATTTAATGCCATTTTTACTCTCCTTAGGAGAGTAAAACCAACCATGATCACACCAAGAGCAAGGCATGTAATACTTTGGGGGGTCCCAAAGAACCCTAGGGTAGTATGTAAAGAATTAAGCTCTTGCATCTGCGAATGTCAAGTGTTCATGACAGCACGATCAGGAACACGCTGAATGACAATGATACACATGGCATATACTGTATATACTCGAGTATAAGCCTAGTTTTTCAGCCCATTTTTTGTGCTGAAAAAATTCCCCTCGGCTTATACTCGAGTCAGATTCCCCTCTGAAAAAAAAAATGGTGTGGAGTCGCGGCCTCCGGCGGCAGCGACTCCCAACAGCCCCAGCCGGGAAGGGAAAGGCAAAAAGCGCTTTGCCTTTCCCTTCCCGAGGCGGCGGGACTGGGGCCGCTCCGGCGGCAGCGACTCCCAACAGCCCCAGCCGGGAAGGGAAAGGCAAAAAGCGCTTTGCCTTTCCCTTCCCGAGGCGGCGGGACTGGGGCCGCGCCGGCGGTAGTGACTCCTGACTCAGGGGGCCTCCGAGGGAGGGGAAGAGAGTGACTCCTGCCTCCCGCTGTCATCATCTTCTTCTTCTTTTGGGTTAGTGAATCAATTAAACCTTTCATGATAGTGAGATCGTTTCCCAAATTAATTATTTTTATTTTTGAAATTTACCAGTAGCTGCTGCATTTCCCACTGCTGCATTTCGGCTTATACTCGAGTCAATAAGTTTTCCCAGTTTTTTTGTGTAAAATTAGGTGCCTCGGCTTATATTCGGGTCGACTTATACTCGAGTATATACGGTACATTTACCACCCATGTTATCAATAAAGCAACTCAAGGGAATTGGAAGGAGAAAGCACACAACAATCAAGTATGTTTTTGACTCATTATTTAACTAAGATCTCCTTACAGGCAGGCGTCGATTTACAACTGGCCACTTAACAACCTTCCAAACTTACAATGGATTAAAAAAAAGCTACCTACAACCTATCATTGAAATTATGACTGCTGCAATGGTATGTTTTGTGACATTTTTCCTGCTTTCTAGCAAAAACAACCATTAAACTAGATTCAAATTTATGACTATGTGATTACATGATTCACTTAGCCACCATATGATTTGCTTCACAAACATGGTACTCAGTTAATAACCATCATAGAAATGGTCATAAAATTGAGTCCACTGACATGGTGATTTAACTTACAAGCACAACGACTCATGACCAAAATTCAAGGCTCAACTGTGGTCATAATTCAAGGACTACCTGTATCTATATTTAGGACTTCCAGTATGTAGACAACAGATTATCATTTATACAGAAACACTGAACATGTAAAATAGTTCACAAACTTTTAAGCACCTCTGTAAATATACAAACTAGAGCAGCTTGTAAAGAAATCTAAGAACAAGATATGTGGTTCAAAAAAAGGATAGAGTGATAAATAAAGAATCATGTGTCACTGGGGACTCTGCAGACAGGGAATCAGTTTCGCAACTGAGAGAGCAAACCAAATTTTGACACTATCTTTTGACCTGTATTTAATTATTAGAACTGGCAAGGATTTAATATGCAGAGTTAGTATACGCCAAATACAAGTTTCCCATACCTTTTGGTGTTCCTGGGACAGTTTACTTTTGATGTTAGTTCCAAGGAGAATATTTATATGATGGAAATTGCCTATATTAAAAGGAAAAGGACAGTTACAAATATGCTCTATATGATTTTCATACTAATTTATTTAGCGTAGGGCATTTTACTTTAGAATAATGTTGCACAGTATTTACATTACCTTATTTATTAGCATTAGCTGGAACAATGGAAAATGTACAATTTCATAAAATATTAATTTGTTTCCAGATATTATCTGAAATAAGCCATTATACTTCCAAAGACATATTCAATTATACGATATTTTTGAGATAGTTATTTAATATCTGATGCCTGTTCTTTCGGATTAGGGAGCTATTTTTAAAAAAGAGAACACAGTATTTTGTTTTTATATCCCATGCAAATCCCATGCAAAAATATCCCATGCAAATATACTTGATTTACTTTTGCTTTTGCTTTTGGCAGCTTTGCCTTATCAATTGTATCTTCTTAATATTAATTATAAATTTCATTTTTAATCCTGCATAAGTCAGCATTTAGACACAATGATCTCTAAAGTTCATATTATTCTTTAATATCCACAGATTTTATTTCTTCTGAAATTAGGATAGAAAACTTTGATTTGAGTTCTACAGCTTCCTATCTACTCTTGTAAGAATTGTGTTCTGATTTCTTATGCTTCAATTTTTATTTAACTAAGGCTGGGTAAAATATGTTGGAAGGGTAAGCAATAAGCAACATGTGTAGGAATAGGTATATGACTTAAATGTGCAGCAGTAGACCAGCCAATGCATCTGTGATGTGGATTCCTTCTGTGTCAAAATTGAAATATACCACAATGTATAACGTGAGTTATATAACTCATACATATAACTACGAACAACCCTGCATGTTATAGTCACTTAAAGGAAAACTGAATTGCCTTTTACAATGGTTCTATACAATTGCTATGAAGATCCCTGCTTTTTTAATACATTAACACATTAATAGTGTATACATTAATAGTTCATATACAATAAAAGCCTTTTTGTAACATTTAACTATGCATAATAGGTTATTTTACCCAGTTGAGAGTGTACTTGCTCAAATGTTGCTAATTTCTCAACAAACAAATTTTACATTTGTCTCGCTTAGTAAATGGCCTTCTAAACTAATGATCAGTTAGCTCATGAATAGATTACTTATCACACAAGGAAATATGCAGATCCTCACATCAAACAACTACTCTTTCATTGTAATATGTTTATTGTTCTGTAAGATAAAAGAAGTGGATTCAGACATCCACTGACTAAAATAAAAGAATTTAGCCAATGACCCTTTAAAGCTAATGCATATTATTATTACTATATAAAATATAATTGTATCAGTATGCTTTCATTTTAATGCCTGTAGTGTGTTGATGAAGATGGAGAAAACTGGTCAGAACTTTGCTTGCTGAATTTTTGAACAGTATGAGAAGTAAACTAAACCAAATTTAAACACCTTGATTATGCAGTATTACAGATATTAGAAAACGTAAGCCATTAAATATATTATAGTACGACAGACTGTGATAAAAAGTTTTATGAAGAGGCAGCAACAAGTCACAATAAAGTATAAATATATAATGACAGTGGCAAAGTAATTAAAATACTTGAGGAGGAAATACATTGAAATATAATTAGAAAATAGCACTAAGATATAAAGCAGAGGTCTCCAACCTTGGCAACTTTAAGACTAGTGGACTTCAACTCCCAGAATTCTCCAGCCAGCATAGCTGGGAGTTGAAGTCCACAAGTCTTAAAGTTGCCAAGGTTGGAGACCTCTGATATAAAGGACTACAATAATTAGCAACTCCATTAAAAAAAGTGATTTGATGAACACATCAAGTTGCAATTTACAGAGACATCATTTGACAAAAACAGCAATGTAATCTTCTTCAATCCATTCCTGACTGTTCATAAAATGATTCCATCCTATCTCCAGTGCTTTCTTCTCTTCCTTTTACTCTCCTTTCCCCAATGACATAAAAGTTACCTGATGATTCAAGCACTGGGGGAATAGCAGAGAAAAGAAATGCAGGAAGATTAGCTTCCACCTACTCTATTTCTCAGGCAGTCCTCTGAACCCAACCTATACTTTCTTCACAAAGACAAACTACAAGGAAGTTCTACAACGTTTAATAACTCTTTAAACAATGACTATCTAAAATAGGCCTGAACAACACAGAGCCCACTGGTGTTTTTAAAAACTCAAGTTCATCACCATAAAATATCACTGCCCCAAGAAAAGATCTGCCACTGCACCAAAAGGAGCATCTCCTGGCTGTACCAATGCTGTCATCGCAGCACAACCAAACATCTGACTTGTGCACTAGCTATTCCCTCACAGGCAACTATTATTGTTAATGGATCATGGGGCCCTTTCCCCTCTGCAGACATGATCTACACCCATTTCATTACATGTGGTTTTGCCAAGTTCTTGTTGCAAGTAAGAGCATACTTTCAGATACCACAGGAGTCTTCTTTGTTTAAAGCACAGAAATGAATATGGTCATTTTAAAGAAGTGAAATGAATGAAAACATAAATATTTTTGGTGTACTCCCATTCATTTCAGCATGTGTATGTGGTCAAATATTTGATGAATGACATTCTATGGTTGTAAAAAGTAACCTCAACTGTCTTATTTTATCCTCTCTAGTCTAGACAGAAAGTACACATATACACTTAGAAATCAAAGCAATTTGAATGGCCAATTCAAAAGTAGCAAAGGAAGTCTAGTTAGGGGCATTGCCAATTCCATGACTTATATCAGAGAGTGTTAGCATTTTAAGTAATTTTTTTATTGAGTTGCATTATTTAATACCAACATCTGCATACACAGAAAACATTTCTGGATATTTCAAGGGCCAAAGTAAAGAACAATGATACTTTTGCAACTAGGAAAATCGATACAGCTCAGGTTTTGTTGTTTCAAACATTCAGTTATGTCTGATTCATGGCAACTTTATAGGTAAATGCTCTCCATGCTACTCTGCTTCTTTCAATTGTTGGATGTTCATCTTTGCATCAGTTATGTTATCAAGCCAATGCTTTGCTTCCCTCTTCTTCTTGTTCCACTAACCATTCCTAGCATCATTGATTTCTTCCAGTGAATTTGCACGCATGGCATACATTTGGCAAATATATTAAGCATAAATTTAAAGTAAGAGATTTGAACTGAGATACAGAACAATTAATGGGATCTAATACTCCAAGAAGGGCTGCAACAACAAGTGAAAGTATGGCATATTGCATATGCATTAACTCATGAAAAGGAAATGTGCACCTGTCTCATACTATCATCCTCATTAGAAATAGAAATATCTAGCAGATATAATACTATTTCACTTTGTTTCCTATGAGTTTAGTTAGTACATAATCTACTTAATTTTCTCAAGTAACAGAAAAATAGTTCTGTTTATTAAGAATGACTATTATTCACACATTGACTTTAATTTATAGAATCTTTCCCGAAAACTATCATATTCTCATGTGTTTTATAAGTAGGTTCATATTTTTTGTTTCAACTGGCATATTATCAAATTATGTGCAAGTGCATCAAACCTGTTTAGTCCTGCTTTGCTCTTTTCTAATAGCCAAACAAATACTATATTATTTTTCATGACATCCAAAACTGCTACTCCAAAACATAAGAATCCTAAATCAAGAACTAAAAACAGTTTACAATTAGGGCTTGTGAAAACAGAAAAAAGTGAAGAGCTTAAGAAATGGCTGCTTACAACATAATGGATGCATTAAGATAAGTCTTTATCAATTACAGCACTCTTCAACAGAGTCAGTTCATACAGTAAGCAATTATTCATGTGGTTTAATCAAGTGATATACAAACTACTTCTAATCAGCTTTTGCTAAATCTAAACAATGTAACTTCATAATTCCAGAATATTGTATATTTACTTAGGGAAGTTCATTAATGTTAATTTTCACAACCCAAGTATACACATTTGAAGTTCAATAGAACTTATATTCCATATAAAGTGCCTAGGATTTCATATTTTCCTAGGTTATTAAAGTAATAGCTTAATTTGGTATAATGAGGTCCAATGTAGTTCAAACCTATCCAAAACTGAAATATTTCCATGTACATACTACCCCAAACCAAAGAATCTGGACAGCTTACAACAACAAAACTGAACCAGATTCATAAATTAGTAATTGTAATTATTAAGTATCTGCAGCAAAAAAACAAAATATTGATTGCTTTATTTAACTACCAGTCACAAAATAGTAGAATCTGGAAGGTTAGCAGAAGATTGGAATATTGTTAATGATGTTCAAAATCTGATCAGTTTTTCAAAATGCAATGCCATTCAAGACACTTGGATTATGGTCTCTTGACTACAAAGTAGTTTATACAAGTTTTGGTCAAATTTGTGCTGTCTTAGTTATATGCACTTCAGTACCGGTAGAAGACAGTTTGTCATGTCAGGGCAATGCAAAAAGTTAAATAGTACTGAGAGTAAAATCATAATTTGAATTGGGCCTGACTTATGAAGACACGTGTAGCTTTTTTGGTGTGATGTGGAAAAGGCTTGCCTCTGCTGTTTTGAAGTTTTTCTAATTCCCCAGCCTACCAAACTCCAAATTATTTAAATGTTAGTTGACTAGATTGAGTATTCCCCAAGAACAAATAAAGTATTTCCCAATTCTCCAGCACGTGGATTGGAGAATCCACATGTGGGTAGGAAACATGCCTTTCTGCCCAGAGACTGATTCGTGGATTCTCCATCGGCATGCTGAGAAGAAGCGTTCAGGTAAGACAAAGATCTTTCTATCTTCAAGTTGCAATGGAATTTTTACTACTGGAACACTTTACTGTACCTGTTGCAAAGTTATCCTTTGGAATACTTATTAAGCCTACAGAAATCAATGAATGGAAAACTAACTAATTAAAGCTTGCTGATTTGTTCTTCTTCTCCAAGTGTGGCCAAAGCTCAACCCACCCTATCAAAACCAAAGCAAGAGATGCACTTACAAAAGCCTGCTCAATTTTTAAAAGTGGCTCTGGATTTAGCAAATGCTTAGTTCTCCTAAAGTGAAACTTTAAAGTGAGGGAAAACTACAGCATCTAGAACAGGGGTTCCCAAACTTGGCAACTTTTTAAGACTTGTGGACTTCAACTCCCAGAATTCTCCAGCCACATAGCTGAATTCTGGGAGTTGAAGTCCACAAGTCTTACCAAGTTTGGAGACCTTTAAACATTTTATTTCCATTAGGAGCTGAATACCTTACAGCATGTCAAATGAAAGCACACAAAGCCTTTTTTTTAAAAAAAGGAATAAAAACCCTGCCAGCTAGCTTTCAGACCCTAGGTTGCAGAACAATCTCCAGGATCTGAATCCAAGAAAAACGGTGACTTGAGTAGAACAGAATCTAAATTCAACTCTCCACTGGAAGGAACCCCTTCCATTTGTTTAAGGTCAAGTAATAGTTTCTACTTTGCAATTGCTGCAGTGCCAAGGGAAGACAGACACTAGAGCAGCTATTCTGCAGAGGAAGCCTCTCTATCCTGCGCCGAATAGGTCAAGAAATCTGGCAATCGTCAAAAAAACAGCCTACTACATTACACATAAAGATAAAAACGCTGCACAGCTCTAGGGGAAAAAAAACCTATAGTACATAGTGTAAATAGTGCAAGAGAAACGAGTTACGGGGCTTCGCATAAAGTTACAACAGGGCCTCGTTTTGCTTCTCCCAAGGATGGGGGTTTCTAACCCAAACCGAACAACTAGGATGCCGAGGAGAGAGTTGCGCTACCTCCCGCAGTCCACGGGCCTCTTTTCTCACAGCGGCGGCGCTGGGTTTCCCCCACCTCGGGGGGCCGCGAGAGGAAGAGGAAAAGGCAGGGAAGGAGCCCGAAGCGAGAAGCCACGAGCCGCTATCCCCGAAGGCATCTCCCGCGGATTCTCCCGTTTAGCTCCTTCCAGCGAGGGGAGGAAAAGGAGCGCCTGTCAGTCAACCTCGCGTCTTCCACCTGCCGGCAGCACAGGATCGCCTCTGCCACTGACGCCCCCTCAGAGAAGCCCGAGCTTCTCCCACCACCCGCTCCCCGTCGGTGGCCCGAGGCTGGCCGTCCCGCTAGGCCCCAACCTGGGCGCAGGCCCGGCCGAGGCCTCTCCCTCCCACATCCCCCAGTCGCGCGCCCCCTCCCTCCCTCTCCTCTTCTTTTCTCTCTCCCCCCCCCCTCACCTGATGTTGGTCTGGGCTGCGGCTCCCGGGCCGGCTCGTGTTGACGGCGGGCTATCGGGCGGCTCAGTCCATTGGTAGCTCCCAGGAAAGGGGGGTCCGGGGAAGGGGAGGGAAGCGAGCGAGTCGCAGCGGCAGCAGACACAGGGCAAACACTAAAGAGAATGAGCGGGGCCAGCTCCGGCCGGGAAGGAAGTGACGGCACCACAAGGGGAGAGAGAGGGAGAAAGAGGAGGAGCCATGGCCTTGGCAGCTATTTATAGCGCCGCCTAGCACCACACATGCCGTGGTTCCAGTTAGCGGCCGGCTTTTGAAGAGTTTTGCATTATCGCACGGATCGCTCCCCCGGATGACTACCACACCCAGCATGCTCCAGGGTAGCTACCAAGAACACGTTGCCGTCTGTCAGTGTCCCACGACTTCCTCAGAAATAATAATAAAAAACTATACTTCCCAGCATGCTCCATTCCCTTCAGAGATCTTTCTTTCATCTTGCCCTATACACATCTTCTGCCACGTGCTTCCTAAAGTCCTACGTTTCCCAACGTGCATTGCGTGCACGCTTCCTTATTACCTTCGCCGGCAGAGGGCGTGGCTTGCAGGTGCTGTACGCCGGGCGGAAGAACATTCTTGGTTTTGGGAGTCGCCCTGGGCTGGACAGAGGAGACTTTGTTGTGGTTCGGGAAGGCTTCTGTTTGCTGACAGGAGCTCGATTTACTACTCTAAACCAGGGGTCTCCAACCTTAGCAACTTTAAGACTGGTTGAGGAATTCTGGGAGTTGAAGTCCACAAGTCTTAAAGTTGCCAAGGTTGGAGACCCCTGCCTAAATAATGTCCTTTTAAATACAAAGTGATTCACTTGCTGTATATTTTTTTAAAGGCTTCTTTGGTGCTCTGGGAAAATAAAAGCTAAGATCTGAAGTTAAACCATGTAATACATTATATTATGTATTCTGACCAACCATAGTAAAACAGAAGAGGATGTAGTTTTCTACTTTTGTCTGCAACACTTGATTTTAAAAAGTACTAGAGAACTGGCAGGGCGCTTTGCGTCAGATTTGATTGTTTTTTCAGGTTCAGGTTTTGATGTGGGAAAGAGAAGAAGGGTCGCATCTAATTGGTATTCGGATAGGAGACAACCAAGAAATCCCAGGGTAATATTTGGATTGAGTAATTTAAGAAAAAAAACGTTTTTCTGGATGAAGACAGCGGCGAACTCTTCCGTCATGTCGCTAAGCGGCATGCCCATGAAATCCCTTGGAGCCAACTTCCATTTGGATTTGTTATCCAGCTCTAGAATTTAGGCTTTTATTCCTCTAATAATCCTACAGAGCAAGGGTCTTCCAACTTGGCAAGTTTAAGACTTGTGGACTTCAACTCCCAGAATTCCTGAGCTACCATGACTGGAGGAGGAATTCTGGGAGTTGAAGTCCACAAGTCTTAAACCTGTCAAGTTTGAAGATCCCTGCTACAGAGGGTTGCAAACCGCTCCCCCCCCCCACGCCCCCGAGCGAAATGAAGAAGCAAGATCAAGCATCAAAATCCTCTTTGAGGTGAATTACAGACGCCACCCTAATACTTTCCACTTTCCCTCCCCACTTAATTAGACCTGACTCAGTTTAAATCGGGTAAAAAAAAACTCCTTTTTTTCTTGTTCCCTGAAAATAAATAGAATCTTCATAAGCTTGAGAAAGAGTTGTTAGGAAGGAGCAAGTTACTTCTCTCCTTGTGTAAGCCCTAGTGGATTCTGGGTCTTGTAGTTTCCCCCCAAGCATTCAAAAGCTGTTGATTCAAGCGTGCTGCTCTAACGAAAGTCGACCGAGGGCAGCAGGCTATCGTTAAAAGTGCTTATGTGGCAAAGGGGCAGCGCCGCAAGTTAATAGCGCTAAGCAGCCCAAGTGTTCAGCGGTAGAGACTGCAGCCAACTCTCAGCCCCATTTGTTCATGTCAGGTATTGGGTCAAACTGTTACAAACCAAGCCGGGGCGCTTGTTTGCGGCGCGCCTGGAGAAGCGCGATTCTAAAACGCCGCTCTTCTTCCAGAAATAATCACTTTTGGAATTTTTGGCTGAGATTCTAGATCTCCTTTTAGGCAGCCTATGAGATCTGTAGTGTCTACCACCCGCCCCACCCCTTATTATCAAATATCAAAGTAAAAGGCTGCCTCCTTGAATTTGGCAGGAAAGAATTGTGAAGGAAAGGAGGTACCTATTTAAAAACAAAACAAAACCAAAGCGGTTTTTTTTAGGAAGGAGATTCAAGCTTCAACCAAGTTGAAAAGGGCTCCAGTTGGACATACACTCGTTTGGGAATATGTTACAAAAGATTTAATTTAGATTTAGCACATAAATGCCAACTTTGGGGTATTGCTTCTGGTGCTTTAAAATGTTGGAATTTAGAGAAATGGGGCAGGTACAATTTTCCTAATTACTAATTCAGACATTGTTGTTTAATTGTGATTTGTCAATTTGGCTGAGGTTCACACTTCTTGTAAAGCCAAAACCAACTAAATCATATAGCTATATTAATGTATATAAACAGTATTTATTTATAAATCAAATTTATACAGCTGCTCATCTCCTCTGAGGTGACTTTGGATGGCACAAAACAATAATTCTTATTACTTTCACACCTAAAGATGTTCGTTTGTGCTAGAATAAAACATTAGGTTCATCATTCAAATATCAAATTCCATTTATATGCCATTTTATTTTCTAAGAATTCCTCAGTCTGAGCGAAAACAGAAACATTTTCATAAATAAAGATGATGCTAGAGGGGTTTTGTGCATTATTTTGCAATGTATCCATTTCTCTTCTTGAAAAATTAAATCTGTGAAAGACGGGCCTGACAATCTGGTGGCTATCAAGGGATAAGCGGCAAAACAAAGCATAAATGCCATTTACAGAAATGCCATAGTCAAAATGCAATCACATGCCACAATTTGGACATTTGGCAATGAGCTCACATTTATGACTGGTTAGAGCATCCAATGGTCATGGGATTTGCATTTTGTTATTATTTTTTTGCTATCTTCCAACAAAAAAGCCTATTGGACAAGCTGGATTCAAACCTACAACCATATGACTTGCTTAATGATCATCATAAGTCATAAAATCTAGTTGAGTTAATGACTCAACTTACAACCACGACTTATAATCAAAATTCTGAGTTCAGTCATGTTTGTTTAAGGACTACCTGTATTCCTTCCTATTTCCCCTACAATTATCCTGTGAATTATTAAGAGTGACTGGTCCAAAATCACCCAGCCGATTTTTCATGCTTAAGTGGGAGGAGAACTAGGTCAATACCTTAACCACTACCAGTATCTCAATTTGCTTCAGATGGCCGTCATTACTCTTAACTGTCATAACTGGACATTGGGGAAAACAGCTGACAAAGCTACATTGAAGAATGTATTTAAAGCAATGGCCCCAACCTTTCCCAGCTTAGCAGGCCGGGGGGGCGGGGTGGAAGAGAGGGGGGATGGTTCCGTGCAAGCGGCAGGTGAGTGTGCATATGCAAGTGAAGCTGCGCATGTACACACACCCATGCAGTTGTGACCTCTGATTTAAAGAAAATAACTTATTCTAAAATATTTTGATAATTGTATGTTTGACTTAATCTGCTTTATGATAGGAACAGATCAACATTATTATGTATCTTCAACCTTTTCCCTGATCTAGCATCCAGACTATATAAATTGCATTTCATATTAATGTCGAAAGCTGCATACAACTCTAAAACCCAAACAAGACTCCTAGTACATTTTACACTCAGGTAGGAACATGCATTTTAGTTTTCACTAGAAAAGCGGCACAAGACATAGGTAATCTTTTCTATAGCATAAATTTTAAAGCATTTCTTAATACATCAAATTCCAACCATTTTTAAATGCATTCTCACCCCAAACCTTATTTACATTAGATTTGCAGACATCTAGGCATAATTAGAAAGATAACTGTTCTTCCAAAGGTACTTATACACGCTAAACTGAGATTTAGCATTCAAACATTAAATTGAAGAAAACTAAGCTACAGGTATTCCTCAAATAGAGCCATTCGTTTAACTACCATTTAAAGTTATGAAGGCACTGAAAAAAGTGACTTATAACTGTTGCAGCATCCCTGTGATCATATCAAAATTTGGTTGCTTGGCAACAGGTATATAATTATGACAGTTGCAGCGTTCTTGGGTCATGTGATCACCATTTACAATTTTCCCAAGTCTGATAAGCAAAGTCAGAAGCCAGATTTGCTTAACAATCACGATTCGCTTAATGAACATGGCAAAAAGATAATAAAATCAGCAGGACTCACTTTATAACCACATTGCTTAGTAATAGAAGTTCTGGCCCCAATTATGATCAAGGAGTACCTGTAAAGTTGCTTAGTAGGAAACATTTACATGGCAAATAATACAAAGCAATTATTTTCAATGATACTTTACAGCAATACATTCTTCAAAGGTAAAGGTATTAAACTACTGTCTTCCTTAATAAAGACAGGTAGACTTCTCTGAAAGAGCTCTTTCAAAACCTCCATTATGAACAGCATTAGGTAAAGCAAGTTGAAGTGTGGTTATGGCATGGTACTGAGTTACACATACACTACTAGACAAATACTTTTTAAACAAGAACTTATTTATTCACAATTTAGATAAATTTTAGAAGACACAAAAGAAATACAAATGACAATAAACTGGAAAAAAGAATATGTGACAACATGAGTGTGCAGCCAGTATTCTGTATATTTTAAAACGTTATCCAATCACAGCATATGTGAAATTGCAATCAATCCCAAATTATAAACTTCTAATACTATTCCCTTTGAAAACAAACAGGGAAAAGGAAAATCACTTCCTTCTTATGAACACATGAACAAAGTATCATTCAGCTTCTGCATCAAGCGATAATTCTGTGACGTATTTCTGAAATAGCAACTTGTTTTTTATTTTGTCCGAGCTTTGTTTAGAAGACAGTCAATATCAGTGCTCTTTGATGTAATTCTGTAATTCTGCCACTCAGATTAAAAATGTCAGAGCAATGTTACACTTGCAGCTTGTAAATATCCTTGAAGAAACTGCAAAGCTTCAGTGTTCAGGCTGGTACTTACCATTGAGGGAACCTTAAAAGACATAAGCAATATATATTTAAAATACATTTAAATTACAAGTTTAAAACAAAAAAAATCTATTATTCCAACTAAGCATCCTAGGTTCCATCA